CCATTCATCAACCACTTCATACGTATTCACCAACTAGTTAACCATCACGACAAATCAGAAGACCCAGCAGAGTTGTCCCACTAATTCTGCGGCGACAAGCCTTGGAAAACCATCACACGGCAGAGACTGATCTGAGTCAGGTACTAACTATCTTGCCCTATATACGAACCACCCCCACATCAGAACCACCATCACCACCACTTATTCCTCAGGCTTGCCGCCCACCCATATGCAACTTCCGGCCTGGCTGGATGATTCGGATGCGCTGGATTCATCCGGACTATCTATATCGCCGATATCCATATTTCGCGCCTGCTGGATATGCTCTATAGTGGCGAAGGTGCTGTCAGGCGATAGGTTGGCCTTTTTCCTCTTGCGTGATCGATGGTCCTCTAGTTGGGCCTGCAATGCGTTGAATCGCCTTTCCAGAAGGGCCACTCTATGTGCCTCCTCATCATACCCCTTTTGCACCTTTCTACATAGGTGACGAACAGTATGGATATCTAGCCCATCCTTGCTCAGCTGGGCTAACTGGTGTAGTTGACGCCGTAGATCAGCAGATCGACGAGGTGTTGACCATGGGACGATAGATACAGCTTCATCCCACTGTTCGCTGCTGGGCTGCTGGCTGGGCTGCTGGCCGGACTGGCTGGATGATGCCTTGGATGATGCCTTGGATGACGCCTTAGATACCAAGGGGTTGGACAGAGGCCGTCTCAAAGCGACCGGCCATAATCCAGCTGCCCTCCAGCCACTTCTGATGTTCTGGCTTGTGAAAGATGCCTCGCGGGCCTTGAAATAACACTCTAGAAATGCCCGTTTGCCAGCAACTGTTGAATCTGTAACCCGGTCATCTAGATATCCAACCTCTTTATGATAGGCCTGCTTTAATGGGCTGAAGACAGCCACATCTAGAGGCTGGAGGACGGCAGACGAGTGTGGCGGCAGAAATAACAGATAGATGTTGTTCTGAAAGCATTTCCACATAAAGTCGATAGAGATATAGGTATAATACCCATCTAGAACCAGCAGTCTGGCCTCCTCTGGCTGGCTAGGCATAGTGCCTGGGATGAAGACCTTTTCTAGCCATTCAAGGGCAGTTCTCTCGGTCGTCCAGCCATCATCAGTAGCTGTGAATCGCCATCTAGAATATCTAGATAGCATAGATGAGAGCCACTGGTCCTGGAATGACTTACCCTTATATATAATCAAAGGGGGCAAGGAGGTCCCAGCAGCAGATACACACTCGATGGTGGATACCCATCGCCGGGATCCTAGCTGCTTTTTCTGTATTTCTCTTGATGCTGCAGAGCCCAGCACTAGCCCATTAGCTCCCTTGCCCTCCACGATGCCAGTTTCATCCATATTCCATCGGTTGGATGGATGGATTCCCTGGATGGCAGGGATATTGGCCAGACGATGGAAGAATTCTTGGATAACCTCGGAAGAATGGGCTTCCCATCGCCGGGCATTTATCGCTCTGGATCGCCGGGTTCTAATGGATGGGTTTCGCCGCATGAATCGAGCCATCCACTTCCTCCCTATGGGTTGCTGCCCATCAGTGCTATCACCCATCATACGCTCTGCCAGTCCCTTCACTTGTTGATGGGTAAGGGATCTGCCAAGGGAATCTTGGAGGCATATATGGGCAGCCAGATTATCCTCCTCTGACTGGGATAGTTTCTGCATATGGATATAGGCCGCATTCTTGCTTTGCCTGCCGTGGTATCGATAATGAAGTGTTGGGTATGGTATACCCCATGCGCGAGCAGCAGCCCGGATACTCTTCCCAGCCTTTACATCTAGAAGAGCCTGTTGGAGATCAGATTCGGAATAACGCTTCATGCTAGGCTAAAGAGTATATCCTGAAAATATGGCGCTGTTTGGTGATATGTGGCAATTGTTGTGATAGTTTGAAAAAGGTGGTGGTGTTGATGATGAGGTGTCGATGCGGCAGTTTCGGATGGTTCGGAGGTGGAGTTGGTTCGTATGTGAGGTAGTGTCACAGGACAGTGCCAGCCACCTGCAAGCCCCCGACTGCGACTGGCAGCACAACCGTTAAGGTTAGCGAAGTGTCTCAGGGAGCGGGGACTATTTAGCTGGCGATAGCCTCAGGAATCGCAGGAGAATAGTTCTCCAAGATTCAGTCTCTGTTGAATACAAGACCTATTGTTCATCACCACTATATTGCAATAGCCTGTTACAGGTAGTTACTAGAAGGTTCCTCACTACCAATGATTTGATGCCTTCAAGGACCGTCAAGATAAACGTTGCGCGGATTCACGACAGGTAAAGTACGTTCAAGATCTGCAGGTCCTGGTCATTAAGTCTTGGGCTTATTATAGTCTACGGGTACTGGAAGGTTCTAATGATTATTTATCGTGACGTCGTGCCGTTTGCAGGCGTAATATATGATAGCGGGGGTCGTACGAATGGCAATTTGATAGCTGCAATGCATGGAGACTTGAGGGGGGAAATATAATTGGAAAGTGAAGACTTTCTGTTGTAATATTAGTGTTTAAATGGATTCTTGTACGAATTTGCCTCAGTCATCTCAGTGGATTCCTAAACGTAGCTGTTATAATGTGTGGGAGACGGCGAGCAACGAAGTGAGGCAATATCGTTGATATTGGCGATAGTTGCTAGAGGAAAAGGACTGCTGGCTGGCAGTGGCCACGTGACCAGACCAACATAATGTTATGAGCGAATCTTATTAATCTTTTGAACACCAAGTGTCGGATATTCATCACCGGTGGAGGGTGGAGCCGATCCGAGATCACGTGACTAACCTCGGCAGCTCACATCACTTACACCACCACGAATACCCACGGCGGTTGCCAACTTCGAATCTCTTCAACCGTCACACCTCTTTTCGCATCAACAGTAATATACGCTATTTGCTGCCTCTGGTCGACCACCCTGTGATACCAACACCAAGGGTAACTAACACTCCGAGTCAATCACGCCTTAGCTTGCCTAATGCTAGTCTTAAACTTCAAATTGCTTCAACGTATACTAAGTTACTAGATTGCGCCGGTGCATGGAGCTGTACAGGCTGCTTTCTCCCAATTAATTCATGTGAACGGCCTGGTCATGTTAACCATTATATGTTGATGGAGGACCCCACTGGGTCACGTGACCCACCTCCTCCTCCCTCTTCTAGGCCAGCCTCTGCCCACTTCGGCAGCCCACTCCTGGCCAGCAGCTTCACATCACAGATATCGTCAATACAGCAGCAGTATTGCCTCACTTGTTGCTCGTCGTCCCACATTATATGTACTGATGATATACAAAATGGTTCCTCGCCATGAAGGCTTAACCTGGAAAAGGCGTATATTTCTTGAAAGATTTCCACCAGGCTAGGGATACCTTTCTAATACCTTTCTCAAGATTTTCATATAATCCAAATCGTCATCGTCAGTCAGTTCTATGTCAACCTTGTCATTCGAGTTATTCTTAATCGCTCAGAAATAAAACTTTAGATTTCTGCATCTATACCACTCTTATGTAGAATATTCAAATGGACCTCTTGTAACAGCGTGGACCTCGGTTTGTACATGCAGACATGCTTCACGTAAGTCACAGTGATCCATGTAAGGGTCATGTCAGCAACTGATATCATGTCACTCCTGATAATTACGAGGCGCTGACCTGAGCTGACAGTAGCGAAGTTAATGAGCGAGTTTTCAAAGGCAACAACTTTCGTCTGTATGAGGTTTGAAGTCTAGATAAGATTCCCCTCACCGCTGTGAATAAAATCAGGTGCCCACCCCATTGCTGAGAACTCATACAGCAAGTTTTGATAGCTCTGGAGAGTATGAATGATGCGGTATATCACAACCAGCCGCAATTCATCCCGAATTAGCTAGAAGATGCCGTCTAACTGCACATAATCAGCCTTTGCATGTTGCTAACAGAACTCTTAGCGGTGGGTAATCGGCATGGTTCAAGTAGAGAGCGGGTTGTTCAAGTAGTTCTTCAAGCTTGATATGTTTGGGCAGGAAGATAAAAAAGCTTTTGCGTAGAAGACTTGATCTATGTTATCGTCAATCCTGGAAATCCGCCGCCTTTACTAAATATCACCACGACCACCGTTCCTAGCTTGTCCCATAGCCTGTGCCTTGGGAGAGTCATAGGGGGTTACGACTGTGGCATGGCCATGGCTACGCTATTGCGGATGAGAAGAGTACGCCTGTGCAGTTTGTTGGCTTTATGGGGCACTCGGAGTTGCAGCTGGCGTGTACGGCTCCTGGCCGTATGGCCGGTCAGCCCACTCTTGCGGGTTGTAGACAGCATGTGTTCGCGGAGCCATCGTTGCTGGGAAGTAGCTTGAGCGAGCTTGTTCCACTCCATTAACAGAGTATAGAGGAGATGTGGGGGTCGGCAACAGATTGGGCTGTTTTTGTTGTTGTGCCAGCGGCCGTGGCTGATGTGGTTGAGGTTGGTATAGCTGTGGAGTGGGCGGGTATCCTTGTTGGACTGGTGTAGGCGGATGTCGCTGGCTTCCTGTATGGTTTGGTACTTGGTTATATGCCGCAGGGATAGGAACTGGCGCATATTGAGGCTCGGGTATGCTCTGTTGCTGCAATGGGTGGTTATGGACCGAGCTCGAGATGGGTGGAGGGTACGGCGGAGGAGGGGGGAGGGTCATTGGCTGGTAGCTCTGAGCAGACTGCGGAGGCGGCGGAGGGAGGTGTTTATGTTCAGGAGCAGGGGTAGGAATGTTCTGTCCGTAAGCGCAAGCCGGAGGGGACGGCAAGGGCGTTTGAGGGGCAGAGGTCCAAGTTGGCTGTCCTGAAGAAGGTGCTAGGACCTGGCCCGGATATTGGGGGTTTGTATCTCGTATTTGGGAAGAGACGGGGTGGTTGGGCGAATGAGTACTGTAACTCTGGGCTTCCTTTGTTGGTTGCTGGGCTGGCTGTTGAGGGGTTGGATGTTGGGCGACTTGATGGTTCGTTACCATCGGCTGATGACTCTGCTTCTCCAAGTGATACGGTGGATTATACGCTGCCAAGTGACTCGGCGTGGATAGAGGTGATCCAAGAGCATGAACAAATGACTGGCCTGGAGCAACCTGATGATACTGTGGCGGGTTCTGGTAAACGGGCAGATATGGTTGCTGTAGTTGTGACTGGTATTGGTTGTCCTGTGGTGCTTCCTTTGCGTCCCGTACAGCTTGAAAGACGCCGGCAGCCTTGAAAGCCTTCAGGGCATCCTTCTTCTTCAGATGGTTTGTGTGTGCGTGCTCAATCCCTAATCCCGCTCCATCAAGGGCGGCATGAGTGACCACCTTAATGGCTGTATCGTTCTCGACAATAGCAGATATCCCGTGCTCTGCTCCAGCAGTGGCTACGGCATCGGCACCCATGCTTCCAACACCTAGGGTCACGACACCGATGGTTCCGCTAACGGCCATGCTTCCCAGCACGTCACGCTTGCGGGTAAGATGCGTCAACCCGTATTTTTGAAGGTGCCTCTCAATGATTTCCCTCTTCTTGCGTGCGTTGTGTATGGCAGGCGCAGCCATCGCGACGCCGATGGTAGAAACTCCCATGGTTAACGGGATGGCGATTCCCGAGACGGCTGTCGAGGTAGCAGCACCGGAAACGAGGCGTGTGTAATGCTCCCACTCCCTTTGGAGCTCCTCGGGTGTGAGGCCATTGCATTTTGCGTCGTAGGCTTTGAAATCGAAGGGCATCTTGATGTCCGAGTTTATCCTGGACTTGGGGTGGGTATTAGTGGAGTGAATAGGAAGGGAAGAATGATGGGTAATAAATCGAATCATCGGGCAGCAGCCTACATGTATTCAGAGCAGATAACGCTGTCTCAAGATCCACGAAATCCAAGGAAATAGTGGCGTTCTTTTAGGCTTACTGAAACAGCATGCCTTGCCTTGATGCAGACTAGTCCCCATTCGCATCACCCCATGTTCCAAAATCAGCTCAGCTTTTCAGAATGTAGCCAAAGTCGCATCTCAGCCGCAACGAAAAGGGTTAGGAGCTTGAGCAAGCCGCCAAGGCAGCCAACCGCAAGGCAGACTCACGTCAACTTGACATGGGTGAATGCGCGATTCATACACGAGGACATGCCAACAGATATATGTCAGGTGCAAGCTATTGGTTCATTTAACTCCTGACGAGGCACAACCGTCTCTGCAGACATTGTGGCTGTCAGCTCTCTTGTTGTGTTACGAGACCCCCATGTGCATTTGTCGATCCTGAGCAAAAGCTTGACCGTGAACGTATTGACTCAAAAGTTGCTTGGGCTAAGCTAGCACCCTCCACCAGCGAGCGCAGTTGGTCCTCTGGGTCTGTGACACAGTAAACCCTATGTCGTGAAGCTGGGACGGCACCAGTCTGGGCCTTGTAAGCACGGCTCTCAACATTTTCGCTGTTTTCAGAAGCCATTAGTTGCGAATTTCTTCCTCGTGCCCATCGGCATGTTCTACGGCACGAACTTTGGCGTCGGGAAGTTCATCTACCACTCAGTGATACCAGTCACGTTGGGAAACATTATCGGCGGCGCAGGAATGGCAGTTTACGTGCTGTGGTTTATGTACGGTAGAGACGGCACGTTGGCCACGAAGGCTGGCCAAGTGTACGGCGGAGAGAAGGTGGCGCATGGTGGAGGTGGTAGTCGAGGACCCGGTCGATCCGTCGACGACGACGCTAGGAACGAGACTGGGACGCCCAGTGATTATCACAACGGTACAAGACCTAGAAGACGGGTGTCGGACATAGTTTAAATAACCATCTGTGGTCGGGCAATTCTGTTGGGGAACTTCATTCCCCTAGAGTTGTATGTCTATGTCGGGTTTTCTGGCTCAACTAAAACGCGATGCTCAATACAGAGTCTATGCGGCTAATATATCCAACCATGAACAGTAATCTTGTTTTTTGACTTGGTGCGGTGTGACAACCCGAAGGCAATACCTCGGCTGCTCCTCTTTTACTGCTGAGATCCTGTCTCCGAAGATTCGCCTTCTTTCTCGACCTTTTCCTTGATTTTCTTCTCGGCCGTGGTCTGCTTCTCCCACATGCCATGGTAACGCCCGCCGAGTGACAGCAGCTCGGCGTGCGTGCCACGCTCAACCACCTTGCCCTTATGGAGCACCACGATCTGGTCAGAAGTGGTGATGGTCGAAAGGCGATGTCTGCGGACAAGGTATGTTAGTAAAAGGGCAAGCGAGATGCAGCAAAGACAACATCTACTTACGCGATGGTGATTGTGGTGCGTCCCCGGGTCACACGTTCGAGGGCATCCTGAATTAGCCTTTCAGTGTGAGAGTCTAAGGAGGCGGTGGCCTCATCCAGAAGTAAAATGGGGGCGTCCTTGAGGATTGCTCGCGCGATGGCAATCTATCCGTGTCAGCTAGTGTCATGACGGATCTGGGCGACTAGACCTACCCGTTGGCGTTCACCTCCAGAAAGCTTTAGACCTCGCTCTCCAACCTTGGTTTGGTAGCCATCAGGGAATGCAATGATGCGTTCGTGGATGTTGGCCGCCTTGCAGGCCTCGTACACATCCTCCTGGGTTGCCTTGGGATTGGCGTAAAGCAAATTGTACATAATAGTCGCGTTAAAGAGAACCGTGTCCTGTGGCACAACCCCAATGTTCCTCCTAAGGCTGTCGAGCTTCAGATCCTTGATGTCGTGACCGTCGACAGAGACCGAGCCTTCGTTGACATCGTAGAAGCGGAAAAGAAGCTTCAGGCAGGTGGACTTGCCACTGCCAGATTCTCCCACAATAGCTGTCTTGGTCCCGGGTGCGACGGTGAAGCTGACGCCGTCAATCGCGGGCTCGCCCTTCTTGCTTTGATAGGAGAATTTGACGTTGTTGAACGCTACCTCTCCCTTAACCGCCGGCAATTGGATAGCTCCGGGTTTCTCGATGACTCCAGACGTTTCCTTGAACAGATCCAACATCCTTTCCGCTTCGATCAAGTTGTTCTGGAGCATGGTGTAATAGGTTCCGAAAAAGTTCAAGGGGCCCTGCAGCTGCACAAAGTAGTTGATCAAGCTGACAAACTCGCCAACCGTCTGCTCGCCCCGGGAAATCTTGTAAGCGGAGACGGCGACAAGCAATGCGGTGCCGAGGGAGAAGATGGAGCTTTGTGTGAGGTTCAGGAAGTTGAGAGACCACTGCACCAGGCGCTCGGCCCTCTGGTACACTACCACATGCTCCTTGAACCTGTCAGTCTCGGCTGCAACGGCGCAGTTGTGCTGCACAGTCTCATATGCCATGATGGCGTCTGTCTTGATGGCCTCCATTTCACGGTTCTTAGTTGCCATATCTCGTCTTTGCTTGCCGCGGTACTTGGCGACATAGATGGTCAGGAAGATGTAGGACCACATGATGAAGAAGACGATGATAGTGTAGAAGGCATCGTACTTGACGAAGAAGAATACGCCGGCAACAAAGATATCAAACACCATGGGGAAAACCTGGAAGCAGAAGTTCTCCAAGAAGGTGTTCATAGCAGCTCCTCTACTCAGCGCACTGGTGACCTCGCCGATCTTCTTGTTGAGGTGGAACTCTAGGGACAGCCCCAAGACGTGCTCAAATGCAGCGCATGACAGTCGACGAAACAGCGACTGTGAGACTGGAATCCAGAGAACCGACCTTGCGGCACCAAGAGCTCCTTGGTTACCCTGGAGGGCGCGGTATACAACGTATAGAATGATCTCTTTATAGGGAATGCGGCCATAACCGAGAGCGTCGACAAGTGCCCCGAGCTGGACTGGGGCCAAAACGTTCACAGTTCGTTGGCAGACCAGGAGCAACAGGCAAATGACGACAATACACTGGTAGGCGGGAGAGTCCTTGGGCCTGGGACGAGGTTAGTAGACGAAACGAGCTAGGCAGCCATGGAAAAGATAGCTCTATACCAGAGATACGGGAACAGGACTCGGAATCCCGCAAAGTAGTCCAGCCATCCCGTGCCCTGGACCTGAGTCCTCGCGGGAGGCTTGTGTGCAGCTGCTCCATGAGGGTGAGCGCCTCCATAGTTTTGAGATGCACCGTTCCCGTTGCCGAGAAGAGACTGTCGCTCCTCAGGGTCCGACTTGGGTTGCGATGGCCTGATCTTGTAGTCCCTAAGAACAAGGCAACTCATCATAGCCACCAAGACGACGATCCTGGCAGCACCCAAGGTGTCAAGCACATCGAGCAGGTCGTTGGCCACGCGGAACGAGTTCTTCTCTGAAGAGAAGACGGCCGCAACAAAAGCTTCGAAAAGTGCACCAACGATCCATGCATAGAAGTGAGCCGACGTCGGGGTCCATGGGCCCTCCGGATCGGGCAGCAGACCAGCCAGGTAATACAGGAGGACCGCAACGTAGGATGCCTAGATAGCCGTCAGCAATGCGAAGTGCAGGTTTTAAGCAACCGGAATGATGCCACCACTTACCAAGAAGGCGCTAAAGGGAAAAGAAACCTTGCCAGGCCCATCATATTGGCTAGCAACCGCACCATGGACGGCAAGAACGATGGTGGCGAGCTAGCAATGAGTGTGAGCGGATATTGCGGCTTTAGTCGGGCGAGTGCCGACTTACTAGCAATAAGGAAAGAAGCAACTGGAAGCACCGGATTAACAACGCGTAAAATCGCGAGGCCCTCTTCTGCTCATCGTCGGTCGCGTTCTGACGCGTGACGCCATGGCGGTCACGGTAGAATTGATAGGACTGGGACGACAACAGAGTGACGAAGAGGCCGCAGGGGTAGAGGTAGAACGCGACCTCTAGGCCCAATTGAGTCGCCGCCATAGCCTGGAGCCGTAGATTCTGACTGGAACGGGGTGTCGACCGAGGTTAAATTGCTGACATGATCCAATGGCAGTTTGGGACGATGGATGGATGGATGTCGGTTCTGAGCGGCGACGTTGATTCTCCGACGGATCTCCCCTGAGACCTGCCAAAAAGACAGAGAAACAGAGCCCCGCTGATCGTCGTGCTCGGTTACCAAGCCAGCGGATGTTCCTCGGGTAATCATGGGGCGGAGCCGGTGCGATGCAAATGGAATGAGCATCTGCGCGTGTCCGTGGTGCAGGTACGTACCTACCTGTTCGTGCTGGTGTACGTGTACCGTAGGTACCTCCTGTTCGTATTAATCAATGCATCATCCATATTCATTCTTCTTAGTCAGTCAATAGTACGGTAGTCTTGTTAACTGAGCCGTACAGCCGGCTGCCCTTAGTCAGCCAGCATGTTTCCCCTTTTGTTTGTGGGCTTCTTTTTGCGTTAACTCCCTGTGCCAGGTAGGTATTAATAGGGAGGCAGGTAGATATGTTATGCAGTTGATCTTCCGAGAGGACGCAAGCCCCAAACCCACATACTTTTTCCCTGTTACATGCAACTTCTCATGCTCCCTTCACATTCTGCGATCCCGCGGCCCCCGACACCGACATGATTACTATGAGCCGGTTTTCCGCCCCCTCACATGCAAGCACCCCCCTGGTACAGCTGCCTCCCGGTAGTCGGGGCAGGCCTGGTGTGCATGCCGCGCGCAGGGCGAGAAACAGCTCAACTCATCCATCCCAGTTCCTGACCACACCTTACGCCCAACCGAGGCTGTGTGCTTCGTCCTCCCCACTGTTGATCGCCCACTGACAGCAGCCTGCCGAAGCCCCAGAAAGCTTGGCATCGCAGCGCAGAACGGGACCACCCGCACATGGCTAATGTACCTTGTAACGGCTCCCTTGATGTCTTGCCAGCCACGTCGACTCGAACGAGCGTGGCGGGCAAAAGCCTCCTCGCAAACAATCGGGCGGCCTCTTTTCTCGACGTTATATTTGTCGTGCCCCCCTGGCGATCTGACAGATCAAAATCTCCACTCATGCGTCGCTTTGCGTTCAATAGCGTCGCTTCGTCGCCCTAAATGCAGATGCAGAGACGCTCCGCCTCGGTGCCGAGTGCCGTAGACAAACGCCTTTGTTGTTCGGGGGGTTTTGTTTTTTGGGGGTTTCGATTATCGTCCTGGGGGCGCAGTGAGGACCCGTGTTCCGTCTGAAAGAAACCACCCACATGCTTTCAACTCTTTGTTCTCTGTTCCATATTTGTAACGTGGGCTGAACCCAGATCGGGTCAAACGGCATCCTTGAAAGCGCCTTTCATTGGACTGACACCGTCGTACAGCGGTACACGGCCCGACATCGTGTACTAAGCTAAGTTTTCGATACTCGCCTCGTTGGTGCAGGGATATACGCTACACAACTGGCGGTGGGTGGCCTCTTGAGTTGAACCAAAATGTGCAAAACATTGGGCATCCTGCGTCTGCACCCTTCCCAAGTCCAACAATGTGCCCCCTTTTCCAAAGCACGGGTCCCGCAGCTAGCACAGATGTGCACCTACCGGTACACAGTCAACTCTTCAGGGCCGGGTGGCTTGGGCTCGCTGCCTCAGCTTGGAACCGTCAAAACGATGAGCCGAGTCGTCCCCATCAAGCTAATGACGGGCTTATTTCGTTTTCTCTCATTAGCATTTCTGCATACGCCATATGATTCAGACACTAGTGTCGTTTCTAACGCTGTCCGTTTCGGCGCGTTCTATCGGCCAGCAGTGATCTGTTATATACCAGCTCGACGGCCGCGTCCGACTGTCACCAGTTCTGACCGTCCTCTGCCACTGCATCCCACCCAAGCAAGTGGTCGAAGATCGTGAAGAGTTCTTTCACGATGGCGACGTTATCCAGCGCCCTGGCCTCGAGGTCGTCCCCCAAGATTGACACGGTTTCCAATGGACCGATTTCGAGTCTCCAGCCGTTCGGGTCGCTGCTCCTCGTCACGAGTATTATCATCGTCGTACTCCTCACCAACATCCTCGAGCGCAAGCTGCTCCAAGTCGTCTACGGCAAAATTTACACGGATCTGCAGCGCCCCGAGAGCGAAAGGCGCCGCCGCTCTTTCACGTACTACCATGTCGGCGCCATCACCATGTTCACCCTCCTCTGCATTGGGGCCTACCCCGTCATGCGCTTCCTCATCGGGTCTGCGACCCTGTCTACGGATCTAGTCCCAGGCCCGGGAAGTCGGATCCGCGTCGGAGACCTTCTATTCGCGATTTCTCAGACCTACAGCGCGTACTACGCGTTTGAACTATGCTATCGCACCCAGTTCGCGAGCGCCCTCAGCATTGCCCACCATATCGGGCTTTTGGCCATAACGCAGACGGCGCTTTCTCTTTTCGGCAATTACAAAAAGCACCCTGAAGCCACAATAGAATTCTACATGTGTATGGTCTGGGGTATGTCTTCAATTCTCAATGCTCAACCCCGAGATCGCACAGCAACTGACAGTGGTCCAGGTACTTTTGATGTCATCGTCGAACTACCCGTCTACATCACAATGATCATCTGGCGCATCAGACGCAACGACCATCGGCTGCTATCATATCTCTCTGCTGGACTTTGCATCTGGGTTCTTGTCGGTGCCACGGCCGAGGTCTCTGTCACAATCTACCTTCTTCACAAGTCCTGGGACAGGTGGGGTCACGCATGGAGGTTCATCACGCCTTTCATCTTCACTCTGTGGATTGCGACACAGCTGTACGGCGCTACGAGGCTGTTTGCGATGTCGCAGTCAGAACGGCGCAAATGCAAGGAGACGCCACGAGGGTCCGAGCCCATAGCCGAGCTGCCGGGATTGATGGACGAAGTAGAAAACGCCGCCCAAGAGGAATCCAAGAGCAAAGCGGTCTGAGAATGCGGTCGTCGCCGTCCAAGTAAACAGTTATCATTCATCCGTATAATGCAGCCTGTGGTTCGTTTCATGCTATGCCAACCCTTTCCTTTCGCCGAGGTGTGAGACACACCAGACGACGCTGCGTGCGGAGTAAAGTAATATACTGGTAATCGATTTCCAACGCATACGGATCGTGGGAATGATAATCCCCACAGGTTAGACCGCTTGGTCCCAGCACGCACGGTCTGTCCAATCCAGAGTCAACCTTGATCACGGCCCGATGCCTACAACTCCGAAAACCAGACCTATGTATCAGACGAGGGGGGTTTGGATGCAATCGCAGCACTGGAGGTGTCTTGAACTCGGAAATTTCGACCTTGTTGGCGTATCGAATCATTATAAAAGGAATATGTATTTGCACGAGGACCACATCAATAGGTGAAGGTGGCATTCCTAGCTGTAGCTACGATACATATATATATCACATAATTGTAGATAGTTTCATTATCAGGCGTTAGGTAAAACAAATACTAATAGTGGCGCAATTTTGAATACCCAAGATCTCAATGGTTGGTCGTTCATACCCTGTTTCCCGCAATGGGCTGTCTTTCTGCCATCCGGATCCCATTGCGTATTCACCTATATGCTTCTTGTGTCTCTTGTTCAATAAATTGAAGCCCCAAACAAAATTCTAGTTTAATATGAGCCTGGCCATATCGCGAAATATGGTATCTCCGTTCTTGGGCATACGGGCCCTTGCAAGTGTAAAGGTCACGCATTTTCTCGCAGTCAATGAAGGCTGCACGAAGGTTCCTTAGTTTTATTCTCAATCTACTCATGACAATAACGAGACCATTTTCGGTTTCCAAAGCCAATAAGCCTGTTGCAGTAGCGTATAATCACTCTTATGCAACACACCAATCCCAGCAACCTACAAATGGGCCCTCCACATCTGTTGCTCCGCACGACCCTCGTGTGACAATCTCTGACACAGCGTGTGCTATCACCGCGTCTGTTTGATGAGCTTAGTCGTGAAGGACTCCAATGATTCTGCTTGGCAGGGTCCTTAAGCGATATGGAGGGGGTCCAGGTCCCCGTTGGACCGTATAGCGGGGATTGTGTCAGCGCCTAACGGCAGTTTGGTATATTGGCTTGAGACGGAGCCCGCGAGGTGCAACGGAGCCATACGATTATGGTCGCGGCTGTTGATACGCTGTTGTACTGGATAATTGTGCCAACTGCTGGCAGTCTCGTTCTGCAACCGCGGCCGTAATCAGTCTTTCTTGATATCGGGTTTGCCCCTAGTGTTCTATTCATCATCATTGGTAGCCAGCATTTCCCAATTAGAGGCCTAGAGTGGCAAAGCGGAGGCGATTTCAACGGAGCAGAATCTGATCTGAACTGGAGAAGGTAAGTATGCAAGTTTGCCCATCAAGCGCCTCTCGCTTTGTTGTCTAGCACGGAGCTTGGGGTTTGGCGGTGTGTTTCCCCGGTCCAAGCTCCCGAAAGGTAGGCATGGCACGGGCCACTTCGGATACTAAGCTCCGCGCCGTGATCTTTCATTGGACGCCGACGCGGTACGTACTGGGTTAATGCCAGTCAACTACGTCATTGGCTGGTCACCTTGGGACACCCATCATTCCTTCCTTCCAAATAGTTCAACCTTTGTTCTTCGTGACGAAGCCTGACAACGACATCATCATACTTCACCAGATCAAATATCCTCATACAGTCCTGCGTACCCATAGAGCATTCGTCCGCGGTGTCGAAGACCAGTTGCAGAGCTCCCCGTATACCCATAGGCTTCAATAGTATCTCCATCGTCGGTCGCAATGCTGTCATGCTTCGGCTTCGGCCGGCCATCGCGCGAGGAACGCGAGCGCGAGCCGCTTTTACCTCGCTACAACGACGATACAGCCTTACAACGACGTCTCCATGAGAAGCTACACACGTATCAAATGCTTCGAGCTGTCGGAAAAGGTTATATGCCGTCAAACGAGCAGCTCATCACCAATCTGCGCACCCTGCTGTCTGCCGATATCCTCAATCCAGATACCCCGGATCTCAGCGACTCGGGACGTGCCCTCGTCCTAAATATCAAGCTCGTCATCAAACAACTGATCGAGCTGCTGCTACACAAGAACGAAAAGGACCAGATCCAGGACTTTATCTGGTATCTTACCAAGGCCCGCCTGTCTGTTGACACGTACGACATTGGTGCTCGAGCATCCAAGGCCAAAGCGAGGGCTGATACTGTTGCGGGTGGGTCACGATTACCGAAGCACATCCAAATCCTACCTCCCATCTACCCAAAGTGGTACGGAAGAGTGTAGGATCTGCTACAGAGTCTGCGCTGATACTTGACTAGCATACAAGAGCTTACAAACAGTTGGGTCTCTGATCCTCACCAACCCAGACTTCCGATTGTTCCTCTCTGATCTGAGTACTGTTGGACGCGAGGTTTTCCGGGACACTGCGTTCACTCTGTCCGACGTCTCAAAGCAAGTGGCGAAGGAGATTGAGCCGTCGCAGAAAGAGGAAGAAGCAGTCAAACATCCCAACGGGGATTCGAAGCCTCCGCCATCCAAAGATGAACTTCAAGACGAAGTTGTCGGAGTCTCAAAGGTTGTCGCTGATGGCGTCGCTCGTTTGGCGGATGAGGCTGGCCACAGCCTGGCAGATCACATCACAGGCGAGGAGCAGGAAACACTGGTACACAGATTGAAGAAAACCGTTGTCAACCTACGCGACAGAAAGGATTACTCCGATTCCGTTTCGACACTCTCTCTGCTGGTCAGGCGCTATCTGCTGGTCTACTCTCACGCCATCTCGGACACTGTTCAGGCTGCCCAGGAGGACATCGATACCAATCCGGAGGCCGACCGCGCGCTCCATAACTTCTGGCTGTTCTTGACATCGCTGGGTGACCGTGAGCAGTGGAATGAAGTTGAACGCATGTTCAAGGTGGTCATGGAACATGGCCATAGTGACCCTGAGTTTGACAAGCTCGTCAGACAAATTGGAAATCTGCTCCAAGACATACTTACGGATCCCGACTTCTTCGAACATGCTGAAGACCGGTTCAAAGAGCTGAGAGCAAAGTCGAAAGAGTTGACCTCGGAATCTTCCATACGCGATGATCTTGACGCCTTACTGGATCGCGTGCATCTGGCCTTGCACTCTGTTCTCGAGGATACCGACATCAAGAAAGTCTTGAATACGGCGAAGAGGATTCTCAAAATCCTGTCCCCAAGCGATCAGTATACGAATGGAGAATTACTGACCGATTCAATCAATATCTTCGTACCCTTGTTGGTTCAAGCTATTCAGTACATCCCGATCCCCCGGATAGAGATCTCGGCGCCCGCGATCGACCTCCTCCTTGAGAACTTGATCCTAGAGCCAGGCCGCACCGTCAACAACAGCTCATTTCTACCCTTCAAGCTCAATATTTCGACTCAGAACGATGTCGAAATTCGGAAAGCCCGGTTCCGGACGACTACTGCGGTCACCACCCTCATGAGAATCACCCTGTCGGGCTTGTCTATTGCGGCTGAGGATCTCGGATACTGGCTGCGCCTTCATTCGGGCATACTGAGACTCACCGACGCTGGTATCGCGGGATTCCATCTAGACGAGCGTGGCATTGACGTTGCAATTGATGTGGAGGTAGGAAAGGATCGCCTCGAAAGCATGCTAAGCCTTCACAACGTCCATGTCCGCATCCATCATCTCGATTACAGCTTGCGGAAGAGCAGCTTTTCTTGGTTCGCCTGGCTGCTGAAGCCGCTCATTCGGCCGACGGTCAAAGCCGCATTGGAGGCACAGATTGCAACAAGTATTAGCGAGGTGCTTCATTTCGCAAACAGAGAGTTGCTTTTTGCGCGTGAGCGTCTGCGAGCGACTCGTATTGCCGACCCGCAGGATTTGTGGACTTTCATCAAGGCCGTGGCAGCGAGATTGGCGCCACCAGAGGATCCAGACTTGTACACCCGCGTGGGCGTCACCCAACCTGGACGGGGCGTTTTCAAGGGGGTGTATGCCCCAGGCAGTCTCGTGAAAATGTGGAACGAGGAGGCTGCGCTTGCGGGCGAAAGAGTGCATGAGTATCAAAGAGACGGTTGGCGCAACTCCATCTTTGATGTTGGCACCACTGGTGTCACTATTTGAGGACGCTGCCTGTGCGCACGGAAAATTTCATTTCGCCACTCATTACACTCAGTTGGGTACCGGATAATACCTGGGCCAATATACACGTAGCCAAGGAAACGGGATACGGCACGGTATGGACCCTAAATTACGAGGCGTTTTTACATGTATTTCCTCGGGGTAACAACACAAACAGGGAAAAGATGACATGACGTTGGCTTCGGCAAGTCGGTCTTCATCATCGCAAACTCTGCATGTCCATGTGCATGAACAAAGCCGACGGCGGCCTGTACGTTATTACACCACCTTGGACTCTGCAGCGCGCATAACAATCAATACTCACTGCGTCCCGCGTCCCGCTCGCGCATGCGCCTAAGGTGGCAGTCTTGCCGAGCTTTGACCAAGGTTTCGGCTCTTTGCCCCGATACAGGCGCTAATAATTTTTCCAGCGCGGAAAAAAAGGGGTTTGAATTCTCAAGCTTCCTATCTGGAATCTGATGCTATGTGCCGGTGCTTACCCCGCTACGCAATTCCCAGACAACGCGCGCGATGTTGGAATGCGTCGGAGTCGGGCGGCAACTGGGGTGTGTAGTTCGGCTCAAGCCATCGGGATGCTGTCAACCTATCCCTGTTTTGAGTTTCGATGAAGATCCCATGCAGCGCTCTCCCGAAAGTTACGTACGGGCCATCCGGAAAGTTACGTGTGCTTGAAATCAGGGCGACGCTTCTGAAGAAAGGCGGTCATCCCTTCTTGGAAGTCGCCTAGGCCAAATGTCGAGTAATAAAGCGCCTTCTCTATGGTCATCCCGGCATCAAGATGGCTATTTTCCACTGTGACGGTGTCAGCGAGTCATGAACATTCAGGGGCTCCGCCCTCGCCCCTCCCCTCTATTACGGGGTGGTATTCGGGCCTGTCATCTAGGGGCACTGGAGTAAACCAACCAGTAAGAACTGCCTGCTTTGCCGTCTTGATGGCTGGGCCGGACATGAGGGCAATGCGCTCCGCAAGCTTCAGTGCGGCGGGAACTACTTCTGGACCGGGGAACACCTTATTAACAACGCCGAGCCGCTCAAACTCAGCTCCGCTCGCTGGGTCGCCGGTGAGAACGAATTCCATGGCCTATTGTTGTTAGTCAGAGGGTGTGACCTCGGCCGTCGACCTCGGCCGTCGAGTACCACCACCACACCGGTCAGCGGCCCAGCTCACGGACTCGCTCACCTTGTGCTTGCCTAGAGCCCGAGCTAGGCGCTGGGTGCCGCCCGCGCCTGGGATGGTTCCGATCTTGATCTCTGGGAGACCAAAAGAGGCATCTTGCGCGGCGTAGATTATATCGCACTGCATCGCTGGTGAGCTTCTTGATCATCTCACTCGCAGAACCGAGCAAGGAGTCCCCCGAGGACTTACCGCCAAGGCAATCTCGCAACCACCGCCCAGCTTGATGCTTTTGCGTCAGTCTTGTTTCCGAGGACATGTAGGAGAAGGCGAGGGTAACGGCAATCGACGATGATCAAGTTCTGGCTCCCGACTTACAGCAAATCCGACAACGGCCGCGATGATGGGCTTGGAAAACCTGGCGAAGGCATCCGTCAAGTCTTTCAGAAAGGCGCGCTGGTGCGCCTCAGCGGTACTGATCTGCACCAGCTCGTTCAGATCCATACCGGCTGCACCACCACCACAGGGGTTAGCGAACACTGGATTAGATTAGAGGGGACCCCGGGATTTTCATGACGTTTCATCGAGCAGAAACGCACGGCGACGGCACACAGGCCCCTGTGTCTCATGTCCGTGGAGAATCGGATGAAGTCGAGCTGACAGTCGCCCGATGGCCAATTGCTGTGCGTAGCGCTATTGCGTGGACGGTGTGGATATTCCCACATGAAAATGGGCACAGTCATGGGGAAAAGAAAGATGGACAAACAGAACCGGGAGAGCTGACGGAGACAAGGAAACACGTGACGGGTGGGTTCGGCTCGATGCACCTTCTCCAAACACTCCCTCGATTTTCTTTTCTTTTTCCCAGGGAGGGGAGGGAGGCCATCTTTGAATGTTTGTTTTGACCGAGAAGTGAGGACATACCGCAGAAAGGACCGTCTGGGCCGCCGGTGACGACGACCGCTCGGACGGCGTCATGGGCATCGAGATAAGCCAACGTAGCGACGAGCTCGCCGATCATGGCCTGGGAGAAAGCGTTTCTTTTGGCAGGCCGGTCGAACTGGACCAACGCCACGGCCGTCTCGGCGTCCACTGACAGCTTAAGGGTCTGAAGGTTATCCATGGCGTTCGGGGAACTTCCTCGAGAGGCGGAATAAGAGACGGATAGCAGATTGCGATTGTTGACGACAACGAGAGAGGGCAAGGGAAGACGAAAGAGGGCTGTGGTGGTTGTTGATGGCTGGTTACGTTCGTGTCTTCAAAACACGGCAGAGAGGCAATACGTCGTCTTTTCTGCTAGCCCGATTCCCTGCTTCTCTTCTTTTCTTTTGGGGGCCGTTCTTCAATAAGGGCCACACTTGTGACGGGACGGCGACCCTGCTTAATGTTGCATTCGACTAGAGGTCTACGCAGGGGGTCAAGGGAAGGGCAGTGAGCGGGTAAACGGGCTGCAGGCATTACGAGCCGCGAATGTCAGGGGTAATCCCTCCAAGACACCCATGGCAGAAGCAAGGCACTGCAAGCGCCGAGCACGTAGTGGCACTTCTGTCCATACGACTATGATACCTAATATGTTGGTGCATCGATGGCATGCTAGCAAACTAGAGCCGATTGGCAACATCTTGGTCATCCCCCCCTGGCGATACTCCGTACACGTGCGATGTATACAACCCCATCTCCTCGGTCAGTCTTCCGCCCCCGACGATGCTAAGCCCTTGGTTACAGAGTCCAAGACGACGGGCTTGAAGTGCTGACACTTTTCACAATTTAGAAAAGACGGCACATAGGCTACAACTGCTGGATTGGGCGGATGGGGTCCGGATCGACCCCCGTTCTTCCCGGATTTGGACGTCTCCTCCGACGTCCGCCCAGAGGTTTTACGGCTCCACGATGGAGAAGCATCGTTGCAGTGCAATCTCTGCCCGCGCTCCACCATGAACATGAAGCAGACGGTTGTTTTCGACTGCTCCAGGCCGTTCGTTCTTCTTGGCTTCTTGCGTCGGAAGAAGCCGGTCGGGCACCTTCTGTTTCCGCCCACCTCCGTCATTCAGAACCGTGGAAACCACCCTCCCCCATCCCCTTGCTGTTGTTGCGTTCGTCCGTTGATGGTTCCGATCATTTCTTGTGGCTTCTTCTTGCAAGCTCCCCTGTATGGGAACCTAGCCCGTCGGAATTCCTCCCCTTCCCCACAGTACCCAAAACGTGTGTCTGCATGGCGAGTTGGCTGAAGAAGCAGAAAGGCCCAGCTAACGGTCTTGATATCCGTGGCCGACTGGGATCCCGGAAGAGGCAACCTTGTTCCGGCCACGGAAGTTGAGCGACTGGGGACAGCACGATTGCCAAAAACAGGAATTGCGGTACTTCAACGGATGAACTAGTGTTTCTGTCGCTGCTCCTGGGTACTGCGGGCTGACAAACAGAAACACGATGCCACCCCTGGAACGGGATATACATACGTCTATATTAGTCTCGAGGTTCCCACCTCTCGAGATGCGATCTTGAATCCGTCACTGGCGGGCTCAATCACTACGGAGCAGAGACACACGGCAGCTCTCAACATGGTCCCGACGCGTCCCTTCCATTCCCTAGAAAGCCTCTCCCTGGCGGATCGAGTGCTTTTCAACCAGTTCAGCAGAGGACCGAGCGAGTCCGTCCCATACCAAGTCGTCCATCACGCCTTCGAGTCCGTTGCGGCGGCACACCCCGACGTCACCGCCGTACGACACTACGATGGTACGTCCATCACCTACCGCGAGCTCAACCGCCGAGCCAACGTGCTCGCCAACGAGCTCCGGGCTACTTACGGCGTGAGGAAGGGGGACCGTGTAGTATTGGTCTACTCCCGGTGTATTGAGATGGTCGTCTTCATCTTGGCCGTGCTCAAGGCTGGCGGTCAATACGTGCCTCTCGATGGTGGCATCATCCCCGAAGATACGCTCGGCTACGACATTGCAGACTCCAACGCACCGGTTGTGTTGTGTCTGCCCAAGTTCAGGGAAAAGGTGCTGCGCAGCTTGCCCTCAGACAGGCGGGACCTGGTGAGGGTAGTGGACCTCGACGGAAACGACTGGTTGTGGAAGCATGGCAACGCGGGCCATCCCGGTGTCATTGTCAACCCCGAAGATGGCGCCTACGTCATATATACTTCGGGCACTACCGGCAGGCCTAAAGGCGTGGACGTGAGACATGAGGGCGTCACCAACACGCTTCTCGTGGAGCCCTCCAGGCTTGGGATCCGCGTGGGGAAGAACGTGGCCCAACAGTTGAATGTCGGATTCGATATGTGTAAGTCAGGAGTCTCAAACTCTATTCCATAACGGCCAAAGCTGACGCGAGATCTACCGGGGACAGGTGCGTGGGAAATTCTTGGCACGGTGATGAATGGAGGAACGCTTCACATCAGAGGCAGCGGCAACGATCTCTGGACAGATTGTTTGCAGCGCGTCGATACCGTCATCGCGACACCATCCGTCGTCCTCAAGCACATGCCCAGACGCGAAGACTTCCCGAATATCAGGACAATCGCCGTCGGCGGTGAGCCCTGCCCCTTGGCCCTTGCAGAGCAATGGGCGCCGTACGTCAAGTTCTGGAATGTCTGCGGCCCAACCGAAATCAGCATCCTCAACACCGCCCACCTCCACAAGCCGGGCAAGACTCTGTCTATCGGAAAGCCGAACCCCAACACCAACGTGTACATCCTCGACGATGACGAGAATCCGGTACCCATCGGCGAACCTGGTACCATGTGGGCCGGTGGTCCAGGGGTGTCCAGAGGTTACCTCAACCTGCCGGATCTGACCGCACAGAGATACAAGCCCGACAAGTTCACAAAGGACGGGTAAGTCACGTCCCCAACCACCCCCTCGCCATACCGGCCGATGGGGAAGACGACCACGCTAACACTGGCTCGCAGTCGCATGATGTTCAACACCGGTGACCTGGCCCGTTGGCTCGAGGACGGCAGCCTGGAGCCTCTCGGTCGTAAGGACGACCAAGTCAAGATCTCCGGCTTCCGCGTCGAGCTCGACGGCGTATCTCGCGCCATTGAAAAGTGCCCCGGGGTCGTCAAAGGATGCGCCCTCAAAATCGACGATCGTCTGTGGGGCTTCTACTCGGCTCCCGCGCCCATCGACGAACCTCGGCTGAAGGCCATCGTCGGCGAGGGACAACCCTTCTACGCTGTCCCGACCGTCTGGAAACACCTCCCTGCCATCGAACTCACCCCCAACGGCAAGGTTGACAAGCGTGCTCTCCGCGACATTGCTGCTGGCGCAGCCACGGCCCCTACGCGTCCGCCGCTTCCGCCCATCGCTACGAGCATGCCGATGCCCGAACTGTCCTCCGGCGCCTCGTCCGTCAAGACGGCTGTCAGCCCTGTCAGCGAGGGCGGCCTTACGCTCGTCGACTCTCGCACGTTCACCGTTATCGACTCTCGCCGCAATCTCGATCTGGAAAAGGCGGCTGCCTTCGTCGCAGAGGAGGTCGAGAAGCAGGAGGGGGAGGACTACGAGCTGCCCTCCAAGAAGGGCTTCCATGGCTGGCGATGGATCCGCCACCGCGGACTCAACGCCTACCGCAAGCTCTTCGGCGCCATCTTCCTCTCCAACCTGGCCGTCTTCGCCCTCCTCCTTTGGAACAGCCGCAACACGAACTTCTCCCTGCCCCTGAACCACCTCGCCACCGCGGTCGCCGCAAACCTCCTCGGAGCCGTGCTGCTGCGCCAGGAATATGTCGTCAACTTCATCTTTTGGATGTGCTCCCGCGTGCCGACCTCGATGCCGCTCTCCATCCGCAGGCACCTTGCGCGTGTCTACCACAACGGCGGCGTCCACTCGGGCTGCGCCGTCTCCGCGACGGTGTGGTGGGTTATCTTCACCGGCGCCGCGACCGGTAACTTCCTCGCCCCCAAGCCGGTTTACTCCATCAACCTGATCACCCTCGTCCTCACCTACCTCATCCTCCTCCTGCTGTCCATGATTCTCGTCATGGCGTACCCTTCTATCCGCGCAAAGATGCACGACCAGTTCGAGTGGACGCATCGCTTCGCCGGCTGGACCGCCCTCGCCCTCGTCTGGGCCCACGTCATCGCCACCGCCGCGTCCATGTCCTCCGAGCCCCTCGGCCCGACACTCGCCAAGACCCCTGCTCTTTACCTCGTGGCCGCGACGACCTTGAGCATCGCGCTGCCGTGGATGCGTCTCCGCCGCGTAAAGGTCGTCCCCGAGCCCCTCTCCAAGCACGCCGTCCGTCTGCACTTTGACTTCTGCACTCCGCCCCCCTGCACCTCGCGCGGCGTCCGCATCACCGACCGTCCCATGGTGGAGTGGCACGCCTTCGCCGCCATCCCCGAGCCCAGCGGCAACGGCTTCTCCATCGTCGTCTCCAAGGCCGGCGACTGGACCAAGCGCATCATCGAAAACCCGCCGACCTCGATCTGGACCCGCGGCACCCCCGCGTCGGGCGTACTGGCTGTCGCGCCGCTGTTCAAGAAGATGGTCCTCGTCGCGACTGGATCGGGCATCGGTCCCTGTCTGCCGGTCCTGATGGAGCGCCGCGTCCCGGCGCGCGTGGTGTGGTCGACGAAGAATCCGATCAAGACCTACGGACAGGGTATCATGGACACGATCCTGGCCGCGGATCCGGACGCGCTGATCTGGGATACGGATCAGAGGGGCCGGCCCAACCTGGTGCAGCTGGCGTATAATGTCTACAAGGAGAGTGGTGCCGAGTGCGTCGCCATCATTTCTAATGGGCCGACAACGAATAAGTTTGTGTATCAGATGGAGAGCCGCGGTGTACCGGCCTTTGGCCCTATTTGGGATTCATGAGGCTTCGTCTTTCTTTTCTATTCTTTCCTTGTTCCCGTTTACACATCGTACCATACTGCCACCCTATATTCTCTTGTAAAAAAATGTTCCTTTCTTGTCCGCCTACGTCAGGCACACGTAGCGCAGACTCCCAATACCAATTTGCTTTATGAAATCATTAGTCGCGTACTTGTCGCAAGTGTACTAGCCTTTGCGAAATCGTCTTTTGCGGCGCCCACATTACCATCCACAGTTTGCTCCCAAAAGATTCTCAAACGCCAGGGCGCGTCGTCACCTTCGGACGGCTACACTGCGGCTGTTATCGAGTACGTTTCAATTTTCAGGTGGAGAGCAAGGCGCCCTTTTGTCTCAACCACAAAAACGGTCTCCCTGGGGTGCCGACGGAACTGGGCAGTATCGCCGAGTCATTCGTGGGATGGAATCGGAGTAAGAGTGGCGTATGCTGGCTTGAATCAAACGTGTAGTTAGGTACATTGTGTTCTCACCCGCAACGCAGTTTGCGGCCCGTCAGCGAAGACCGATCAAAAGCTTCTGGACTGGTCGAGACTAGGGGTGTTTAGTTTTTGTCTTGGATTTTAAGTTATGTCACTGTACCCACGATCATCAGTTCTCCCGCTCCAATCGACGCGAGGATCAGCTTTAAATTTGAGTTCAAACGCAACCCAGACTTCGACATCAACTAGGGCTTCCATGTTTGAGAAAGACCGGGGCTTTGCTAATAACTACAGAACAGAGTCGAACCCGATTTCGATTGGCTGCATAAACGCCTCAAACATCCGCTCCTCCTTGGTTGTGCTAAGCAAGACCTGTCACACAAGTCCGTTTGTGGGCAAGGCACGACACCGTTCCGGCAAGCAGATCGTACGAGCGCCTCGTTCCGCAGCTGTAGGCCGGCGATGAAGGGTGTTTCGTCATTTTCCCCATTTTACTTGTTGTGCTAGAGGCGTCAGAATCTGTTCCCACTTGGAAACAACGCAGACATGATTGTTCGGATGGGCGTATCGTAATAATTAGAACCACGCCTCCTACCTCTTCAAACGACATCCTCGGAAGCTTCCGGGAATCAGGGGTTTTCTAGTGTGGTCTGTGATCGTGATCTGACCAAGCTTCATTGACTAACTTATCCTGTGGACGCGCCACTGTATTGATATGGTCCAAGAAGGTGCCGCCCGTGGATTGCACTGTCGGTAACTGCTGGAGTGATACCTCGTCGGACTGGAAACGTGAAAGGAACTTCTTTAGGCTTGGCTTGACCAAAGAGGTGCATGTCTAGATATTCCTCCTCCGCCGCAGACGTCACAGTCGAACCACAGGTTGCACAACCCAACACCTGCCAAAAACAAGCATTGAGACTCCTTTCACTCGCATGTGAGTGGAAAAGCTTGTTTTCATTCCTAACTTCTGTCATTATGGAGATTGTGGAAGCGAGAGTTTCCAGTTCACGAAACGTACCGTAAATCTCCAATACGCTAAGGCACCATATGGCCTGTGTAACTGAGCAAACTCGAACACGAGCTTAGATCGAGATGTTGATTGTTTGGGTCATCAGGGTCATGCTAAAACCAGCTGTCTACGAAAGCCCCATCGTGCTTTTTGCGTGACTGACCACACACGACCCTAACAGGAACATCATGCTTTCCAGGGAATGAACAATGATGCTCAAATCTGCTGCACTTGAGGCGCGAAACCACCGATACCAGGACCTCTTCTGCTTGTAGGAATATGTTGCCCCCGGAATGCTGAGTTGGGCTACAATCAAGCAGCAACCCTCAAGCATCGTCCCATCTTAACGCGTGTTCACTCCACGTCTGTGAGTCTCCCGGATGCAACTTTGAGAACCCGAGTTTTTTTTTGAAACCGTCCGTGGAAGGCTGGCTACGGGCATTCTGAGGCACTTCATGATTGAAACTTTGGCAGCCCCACGGTATGTCCCCTTCTACCCATCACGCATCCACCGTCCACCTTGTGGTCTTGAGAAGTACAATGATGACAGTGGATCTGGAATAAATGATCCCAGAATAGAGAGACAGCAGTATTGACGTAGAAAGTTTCGTATGCTGTTCGGTATTCGAAACCGAATGTTCCGCACACCGGGGTGTAAGGATACTTTCGTATCCGTATTGTTGTCGCGAGCCCCCAGCCTTTTATTCCTTCTCTTGCATATTCAATTCCTCTCCGTGCAAGCCTTCCACTGTACTGCATGGGTCTTTCATTCCAGTCCCTCTCTCCTGCGACTGGACGCCTCTGTTCCTTCTGGAATCATATTCCTCCTCGTTAGAACACGCAGCATGGACACGTCAACGCGCTCGACGCAAATTCTCGAGTCATCCGCAATAACCAACAAGTCGAATTCCCTGGCTGTTGCCGAATATGACAAGGCAGGGAACCTCAAAGCTAAATATGTCGAGTCGATCCCGATCACAGGGCACCCGAGAGTCGACGTTTTGGTAAGCGCATCCATTACATGGTCAACCCCAACACTTGTCATTATGCAAACCCGGACTACGGGCATTTGATTGACGTTTTCTTACGTAGCTTCCTGTCAGACGAAAGAAGATCTGGCTACAGCTTCTGGAAATCTTCTTACCAGATGGATATCCTCACAGTGTATCGGATGATTACGCGACATATCAAATTTATGTAGGTTACAAAATCGAGAACTGGCTCGCGAAACCACTAACGGATTGAAAGGACTCTGTCCAAGCGTTTGCTGGCTCAATTGCCGGCATGATATCATCTCGTGCTGTTTGGGAAGGTAAACCTATTGCGCATCACATCGGCTCAATTCGGGTCTCCAGAGACCAGATCCCGATTATGTTTTGGAAGCTGATCTGATGGTTAGGCCTCGGCGTTGGCGACTCGTTAGCATCTCCAACAGGGGCCATGCTTATTCAAGTCATAAGAGAATCCACGGGTCGATTTGCAACTATCACATTTGCTCATCTGTTTGGAACATCGATTGAGGCTGAGTGCAAGGCGTACCGTCTGGCTTCTGACGTCCTCTGCGATGTTGCCATGCTTCTCGACTGTCTCTCGCCGTTCTTTCCGAGAAGTACCAGGTTCCTTGTTCTATGTTTCTCAAGCCTACTCTACTCTGCTAGTGGTGTTGCCGGCAATGCATCCAAAAGCAGTCTTAGTGGCCACTTTGCCAAGTGGAACAATCTTGGAGAGCTCAACGCTGTAAGTCATGGTTAGCTCTTTAGTTGCATAAGGAGTAGTACTAACATTTAACAGAAAGATGCGAGTCAAGAGACGGCCATATCTCTGATGGGCATGATCGTATGTCAACCCCTGTTTACTCTTGGAGACATACCCGTCACTGACTAATACCACATAGGCCGGCACATTCGTGGTATCGCTTCTCACAGGTCCAAAGGCCACATGGGTGGCTCTTATTTTCCTGCTATCACTCCACCTTTTCCTAAACTGGAAAGGGGTCAGAGCAGTTAAATCACGCTCACTCAACAGGCAACGTGCAAACATTGCATTTTCGGCCTTGTTCTCCAGAGACCAAGTTCTTACGCCGGTTCTCGTCTCCGAAAGGGAGCTTATTTTCGAAAAGCGCGGGGGTAGCGTTTTCCGTTGGAACTCGGGAAAGGTTCTCGGCCATTGCGAGTTTGGAGTGTCTCTCCGAGAGATACTTCAGAGCCTGGCCAGTGGTCAGGAAAGAATGAAAACTTTTCATCTTTCGACCCTGGAATTGGCCAATCTGCTAAGTCTTTACAATGAGGAGGAGTATGCCCTTTGGTGCGAAACCTCGGAGACGGTATACTGTGACGCGGCTTCCCGGGTCAAGGTCATGGTTGTTCTCAAGGACGGCGTCACACCAAAATCCCAGCTAAAAGCTTGGTTTCACGGACTATTATTGACAAGGCGATTAAGCGGCCAGGAAGAGTCTGAACTGTTGCGAGCTGGAATGGATCAGCAGGTGATGTTGAGCCACATTCAGGAGAGCTTGAGGGTCGCCAACGAGAAGTTCGAGGAGTACATGGAAAGACTTTCTTTTGCAGGCTGGAACCTCCAATTATCTTTGCTGGAGACTCGATCGGGCTCCCGAATTACATTAGAGACTGATTAGTGACGAGATGAAACGTATCAAGTTCAGCAAAGAGATAGAAGGCGGTGGGTGCGGAGAGAGAAACTCAAATAGGCTACGTCAAACAGAGATGCTGAACCTAATCTGAACTGAAGAAGCGTGTCACCTGCATCTCCAACTGTTCAGGCAGTGAGGCAAGAGCTTGATCGAACGACATGCTCAGGTGCGTCTGATGATCATCACAACCATTCAATGCGGCGAGCTTGAATAAGCCAGCGGATCATTATTTGGAACATTGTTGCAGCCCCGTGAGAGCAACCTTTATAGTTCCAACTGCATTTTCAAAGGATACTGAAATTCAGAAGACAGGACGCAATGGTGTGGAGCGGCAAACACTGGTTAATGCGAAGTTAGCAGCACTGATTTCCTGATCAGCGCCGCCTGAATGGTCTCATATTGACTTCGTTGCAACAGCATACTAGGAGGTTAGCAATGTCTGAATGCCCGCCTAGTCACCCGAATCATTGTGGTACATGCATTGTCGTAGGACCGAAGGGTAGTAATCGAGATCGAAGAGTCCCGCGTTCTCCTTTGACACCAAGAGGCTTTATGCTGTTGGAGTATGTACGATCCATGTCGTTATCGTGGCCCGGACCTTAAAGGTCGTCTGTTGCGACAGTCCGTTCACCCGTCTCTCTCGTATTGGAAACGCTGCCACGTAGTGCCCATGCCTTAAACCTCATTGCGGCGGCTGTGCTGCTGCTCTTCTATATGATCCCTGTCTTGGCTGGTTTCTTCCACTCGAATGGGGAAGCCCGTCTTGAGTAGGATGGGGCTTCCGCAAGACCACCCGGATTATCCTTCGTATTCTACAGAGGGGTAAATGGCTTGCAAAAACGAAACCGAAGATGACTCGTACAACGGCACCTGCATTGTAGTCCTGGGACGACTGATGTATGCATGAAACACGTGAGCACAAAGTCTAATGCCGGTACCTCGCTGGGCCCTTTGCACTTTATTAGAAGTGATTGGCTGGATCTAATCGCAATTTGAAGCGTGAAGGTAGAGCGGTAATACCCAGTCGGTTCAAAATCCTGGGAACTTTGGAGGGCAGGCCATTATGACATGGTGGGCGGGCGGCTTGAACGGATACACGTTTGCGACCTTGAGTGACCAGGTTAGTGTTGTTCATTGTCAAGGCGCATGGATAAATAGGGGCTATTCGACCACCAATTCCCAATCCTTTTTGATAAGATGAAAAAGAAGACATCATAGACATTCATGCCCACTCACTCGCTCCAGCAACACTATCAACAATGACAAAAACAGGTATTGCGTCACTTCGCCCAACGGAAGCTTCGCCTTTGCCTCGAACCAAGTCACTTCGTCGTCAGCGAGGTGAGAAACCGCAGAACCCAGTTCAACTGCAAGCATTCGAATGGAACTTGCCTGCGGACCACAAGCATTGGAAGAGACTGCAACGTGTATTGCCTGCGCTCAAATCCCTCGGCATCAACAGTCTTTGGCTGCCGCCAGGCAGCAAAGCAAAGGACCCTGAAAGCAACGGCTACGACATCTACGACGCGTGGGACCTGGGAGAATTCAACCAGAAAGGATCGGTGCCTACGAAATGGGGTACCAAAGAAGACCTTGTATCTTTGGCAGCAGATGCGGAGACAAACGGTATTGGACTTGTCTGGGATGCAATCCATAACCATCGCGCGTATGCAGACAGCACTGAAATGGTAAAGGTGGTAGAGGTAGATCCTTCCAGTATGTCACACTTCAAGATGGCAGAGGAACTTACTCACTCACATAACTTCCAGATAGACGAAGAGATATCACAGAGCCCTACGAGATTGAGGCATGGACCAAGTTCAATTATGAAGCGAGAGGCGGCAAGTACAGTAAATTCACGTACAACAAATCGCACTTCAATGGCACGGATTGGAACCAGATCAATAAGAAAAGGGCAATCTACAGATACGTAGAAGGCGGTAAAAACTGGCACCAAGATGTTGGCACAAGCCAAGGCAACGCGGACTATCTTATGCTCGAGAACCTCGACTACACCAACCCTGACGTGGTGAGGGAGCAGCACCAGTGGGGCCGTTGGATTGTGGGCGAGCTTGGACTCAAAGGCTTCCGTATTGACGCCGTCCAGCACATCTCATGGAATTTCATCAACGAGTGGGCCAACTTGCTCAGGAAGCGGGGCAACCAAGAGCTTATGTTTGTTGGGGAATTCTGGCATGGAGATGTCCACGTCTTGACCAACTGGCTAGATCACATGCATTCCTTCTTCAGCCTCTATGATGTACCGCTCATGTTCCACCTCGCAAGACTTTCATGGCATACAGAAACGGATCTCAGAGAGGTGTTCAAGAACACGCTGGTGGAGCAACGGCCTCACAACGCAGTGGTTTGTCACTCTTTGACGCATCTCTCGATAAGGCACTGACTCCATTCAGACTTTTCTGCGCAACCACGACACCCAGAAAGGCCAGGCCATGGACACCCCAATATGCACCGAATTCATCCCTCTCGCATACGCTCTCATCCTTCTCAGACACGAAGGACACCCCTGCGTCTTCTTTGGAGACCTTTACGGAACCGGGGGTCTCCACCCTGAAGCCCCAGTCCAAAACTTGCCAAACCTTCTATTGGCTAGGAAACTTTACGCGAATGGGAAGCAACAAGACTACTTCGAGAGACGGGACTGCATCGGTTGGGTCAGACGTGGGTGTGAAGAGAGACCTTATGGTCTCGCCGTCGTCATGAGCTGGTCAATGAACGAGAACCCTGACACCCGGCTTTGCATGGAAGTTGGCGAAGAGCATGCTGGGGAGATCTGGACTGATGTTCTAGGACTGGAATCTGCGTCCGTTAAGATTGACCAGCACGGTTTTGGTCTCTTCTCCTGCCAAAAAAACAATATGGCATGTTTTGTTAGCAATAATGCCAAGAGGAGGAGATTCCCCGTCAAGTTCAACACTGATTTCCAAAGTCTATTAGAATAGAACAAACGTTTTTCAGTCACAAGGGACCGAAAAGCGGCAATTATAGTAGCGTTAGATCTTTATGTATCACGGCCAAATTTATTAGCGGGCATTTTGGGATATCAATAGCATATCGATCACTAGCCATTCTGAATCTTCTTGAATGGAAGCACTGGCTCTTTTTCTTCTTCTTCTTCTTCTTCTTCTTCTACGGAAGCCTCATGACTAACACTGGGCAGAGACACGTTGAATATCTTCATGCTTCACTAGTTACCTTTCTGTACATCTGACCACTTTCCCATCATTGTGTAGTAGAAATATCATAGACAAAAACTCAATGCTAAAAAAGGTGTCATTCTTATCAAGGATTACAGGTCTCGTATAAATGGAGAGTTTTGATTAATAGCTGTTTTCGTGAAGCTAGGAATAGCTTCGTGTGGCTAGTACCAGTCATGGCCCCCAAAGACGTGGCTCACCACATGCAGACCCCTTATAGGTAGTTACTTCTATCGGTTATTGATTCATACGTACTGCATAAGTTCTAGATAAGACGTGTAACTACTTTTACACTGAGTCTATAGACAAGCTGATAGTGCCCCCCCCCCCTTGTCAACCCAAGAGTACTGTGCATAATAACAGCAATAAGCCTCTGTCGCGCTAAAAACGACACCGTTAGTCGCAGCAACACAACTAACGCCTTATATCACATCGTGACAGCCTCATATTCTGAAGGCTACAGGTTCAAATCTGGTTTTCTTAGATTTTTTTAATTCTAAAATAGCTCTACTAGGGAGGGTTAGAATAGTCTAACCTACCCTGCTTTTTACGCTACGCTCTAGGTCAGGATAGGCTAAGACTATCCCTTTTGCCTCTGTGTTATCACTAAATCCACTGTCTGCTGAGGTTTATTACAGTTATTGTGCACAGTACTCTTGGGTTGACAGGGGGGGGGGATACTATCAGCTTATCTGATCACTCTTTTACACCTCACTTCGGCAGATACTGCGGGTTATCAAAGCTGGTTTTGTGACAATAAAATAAACAAAACAACAATAAAAAAAGTGCAAATCATTTACGCCCGCGTAGGCTGCACATTCCGATAACTTCCGAGAGGTAAGCATGGGGTCACGAAATATGACGCTAAGGAAGCGGAGCTTGATAAGCAGCACCGCTCTTTTAAGAACTTCGTCCCATCGAAAGCGTCAGCTTGAGCGATTGTTCCTTTTCCCTCCCAATACCCCACTTCTGTCCGCATGTCACTCCGCAAGACGTCGTGTCTATCCTGCGTTGCGTCCAAGAGGCGTTGTGACCGGGCTTTGCCAGCGTGCCAACGATGTTCTCGACAGTCACTCTCTTGCCGCTATCCTTATCCACCGGCAGCCACCATGTATCTTCCCCGGGTATGCGAGGAGGGCTCTCTGCAGGGCTTGCCACAGTCACCCTGCCTGACCCTCGGCCAAGTGAGTAATAACACTACGGCTGTTGAACAAACGGAATACGACGACTTTTCACGGAACAGCGAAGGTCTTCAAAACAAAGATCTGTTAGTTCCTGAAGGTACAGACGTCGATCTTCTCAATAGGGATTGGCTAGCAGAGTCACTAGACTTGTCAACTCTTCTTCATGATCCCTCTTTCCAGAGCTATTCTGAAAGGGTTTCGGCGATTCCGTTCGTTCCCCCTCGACATTGGAGTTTTGAGAAACAACGAACTCGGCTGCAAGATACCCAGCAATCTTCTACCAAAGGAATGTCATCAGAAATCCATGGCCCGATGAACCTACTCTCGAGTGTGATTCTCGGGCCTTGGAACAAGTTTGATGACGTAGCTACGTGGCGTTACTGTGCGAGTGAAATGCTTTCGTATATTTCTCTATACGCAACATATGGAACTTCGCCCATTGCCACAATCACGAATCAAGACTCCACAGACTTGGACCCAGTTCTTAAAAGAGCACTGGGCGTCTGTGCAGCCCACGGAACCCTCACTCAGACTCGGAAGCATGTTTTCGACCAGCTGCTTGATCATGAACTTGAGCAACTTGCGACTTTGTCCCAATCCGCTCCGGTCTATGATGCTAGGTGGCAACGGCACCACTCGGAGACTATTCTAAGGGAGACCACAGCCAGGCTTCAAGCGCTTACCATGTATCAGATCATCCGGCTATTTAGCGGCAGGGCTCAAGATTTCCGAAAGGCTGCGGCGTACGAAACCCTCCTCGCCTCATGGGCCAGGGAGCTGCAGCTTCAGGTTCACATACTTCAGCAACACACGACAATTGTAGGGTTTGGGTTCGAGGGAACCGATCCAAACGTCCTTGACGCTGCTCATCGTGCGATCCTCATGTCATACACGGTTCGCGCCGTTCACTCAGTTCTCAATTACAAAACGTGCGCCGTATGGAACGACCTTTTCGCTATAACCATGCCGACCAGCTTGTCGGGGCCAATAATACTCTCGTATCCAGAATATGTAAATGCATGGGAAAGAGGAGTAACACCCACACTCAGTGAGGATAACAGGAGGCTTAGCAACTTGGTTGTTGCTGCTTGCAAAGGTGTAGATGCTGTGAAGATGGGAACCACCTGAGACAACTGCATCCATGGTCACAGTTAGCACCGTATCCCAAAGAGAAATCCAAGAAAATCTGTGGAAGCGACGGATGAATGGAAAAAGCCTTGTGATCCAGCGCAGTAGAGTCACGGAACTTTTTGAGGTAATTACTCAGCTAGGTTTCCACTTAAGTCCGCACCAGTCTTACGCCACCTCCGGATCCTTCCTAATTGGTGTCTAAAGATTCGCGAGACACGACAACACAACTCACGAGAGTACAGTATCAGTAGAACGTAAGAATACCGGAGTCTGAGTGTCAAGGTTGGCTACAAATACAAACGTTTGTTCCCCCAAAGAACCGGAACATCAGCAGGACACCTCGACGCGCACACACATACACACATATCATATCAGATCACACCAGTCATTCACCATCCCATCCCCCCCCTTATCCATCACCATGGCGATCACTGAGCTCGTCTTTGTGCCCCTAAAGGCCAATGAACAAGTCAGGGCAGACTTCTACAACGAGATACCTAGCTTGATACGAGCCACTTTCAATGTTGTCGGTGGCCCAATGGCCTCGGTAGTGGGCCGTGTTCTTGAAAGCAAACCGACTAGTGCAGATAATCATTGCGGATATCTTGTGATTTTCTGTAAGCCTGATGGTCCTTTTATTTCGGCAGATGCACGACTCTAACCACTAGTGAATCCCCTCCATAGGCTGGGAAAGTATCGACATGATCAAGGACTTCATGAAAACCCCTGGTTTCGTCAATTTCAAAGCTTCTTTGGCGGGGTATGTGGATGGCCCCCCCACGTTACAGTTCTTCGAGGCCCCTCCCGGCATTGCACCTGAAGAGACGCTTCATGACAGCACCCACTTCTTCTTCATGAAATCGACTGGCACTGGGGTTCAAGTCAGCCACGCGAAACAGAAATGGGATGAGCTGGCAGCTACCTTCTCTAGAGTCGCCGATGACAATGTCAAGTATCATAACGGCGATGGAGTTCAGGAATATAACGGTCATTTTGCTGGGTTCAGTGGTTGGAAATCAATCTCGGTAGGCTATGACCCTGCCAATAACATGGTCTGTCACTTGGGTCTGATCATAACTGACTCCCTCTAGGCTCTCGATAAGGCCCTTGGCCAAATGGAGATCCAAAAGCAGCTGGAGACTCTGACTAAAGTTGGTGGGAGCATTTCAACTTTCACCTTGGAGCTCAACCGCGTTTTTTGATCTTGTACCAGTCCTCGACCCACAGAAATAGTTTTCCTATCGCACTCCGCTCAGAATAAAAGCTCAACTCAATCTTTTTGTGGTTCAAGTCAAGAAAAATAACTGGCTGTGCAGACGCAGTTCTCCAGATGAGGACATGTGATAAGAAGGCCGATAAAGTTTGATCCTTGTGGCGCCATTATTACTATATTAATTTGAATGTTAAGCCTACAGGGAACCACATATACAGTGAGAGTTCCTTGACTTTGTGATGCGACAAGTGTCTCTGGTAAGCTTAAGAATGCGGTTTACAAACTCTGAGTGTATGAACCAGAGAGCTTTGAAGAGCCTCAACATCGTCCCTGATCTTGTATTCTATTGTCTGCGCCGGCCACTCTAGGTTCCTTTGATTGTATCTTTATTTCATATTGTCAATACCATATGCAGTAATAATGCTTAACGCCTTTGGCCAAAAGATCCGCAGACTGACTCGCAAGCCCACGACCAACCACGTGGCGCTAGGAGAGGCGATGGATTGCCAAACGTTGTATCTAAAACTAAACTCGGCGCACTTAGTATGTCTACCGTATGAATGGCGTTCATTTAGCAACCTTGTCATTTCTGAAAACCGAAACCTAAACTCTTCAACCGGCTTGCTGGTCCGAGTTATTCCTGAGACTAGTGAGACCCTCCTGCAGGGATCGGAGGCCAATCACCTAGATATATTGATCCACTTATTGATGGCTGCTACTATGTACATCCCGCATCGTCGGGACACATGACTGATGAGGGGCAGAAGGTAGAATTTCTGTGCACTGCCAGAGTGCCGGACAAAGCCAAGCGATGTTTAAAGTCTGGTTTGTAGACCATTTGCAAGTTTTCAGGTATTGCTACCTTACTCCCTAAATGGGGGAAGGCCTGGATTAGCCGTGTTGGACGCTAAGAGGATGGACGATTTTGTTGACGGAATTTGAAAATTTCAACAATTTGTACTGCCGGCATGTTGAGCCGGCCTATAACCTAGGGCAGCGTAGCTCCAAACAAGCATTAGATGGAGCGGCTCAATTCCTTGGCCCGCCGCCTTGGCACCATTTGCATCACGCGTGCTTCGCCAACTACCCTGTCGTATCTCGGCGCGCCAAGCCGGGCAAATATTACTTAATACCACCAGCCGAGAATGAGGCTTCACTCCCGGGACGGGCCTGGGTTGACGGGAGCTAGAAACGTGCCAACTACCCCCGTTTGTAGGAGAACGACTCCGAGCGGCAGTTGTATACATAGTATATCAGCACATGTTTCTCTTAGAGGAGAGTCTCGGCAAAACAGAAGTGTCCTGGTATCTTTGATGGCCAGGGTAAAGAAAAGCCTGGGGGGGCGCATGACTTCTCATCGCCAAAATCTACCGAATATCACCCTGCCACGCGCTCTGAAGTTGCACCCTTTTCGCCTGACGTCAGGCCACGACTCCAATACTGGAGAAGCTTCCCCAACCGACTTCTCAGCAGTTCCCATCCATCTCCACACAACGACTCCGTATGTTTCCGTGCCGGTCACGAAAAACGAACGGCGCTGGGTTCGGATTGTTACCGAGAGACAGAGAATGTAATGCCCGGTAGAATTCTCGGTCAAACCACCCCATTCTTGCGGGGCATGTGCAAGCGCTACCCTGCGCTAATGTGGAGTGGCGAGTCATGTGAGAGGAAGAACATCACGGCCAGATCCCCGACCTGGGCCCATCATCACGCCCACGCGAGAGCAAAATCTGGAGCCCCAGGGGCAATCTCACTCTACGCCCGCACGCTGCGCTTCCCCTCCCTCCCCCGACATGCTTGTTCTCCAAGCGTACGGTCTCCCGGGGTCTCTCCACTGGAGAAGCCCGGAAATGCGGACTGACTTCGGCCGTTTTTCTCCAGTTTCTCCACCCGAACACCTGACAGGTTTTTTGGATGACGATGTTAGTGTCGAGTTCAGACACACCGGTGTTGAAAGCCAGAAGCAGAATCCACAAGGGACCGGTGCTGTCATCGGGTTGGTCAAAATGGGTCACCGACCATGTCTTTGCTGATCAACCGCGGGTGGTGTGAGAAAGGGGGTTAAAAGCCTGCCGCGTCCCAATGATCATTTGCTGTTAGGCTTTTCCTTGGCAGGTTGTCTTTTCACATCCGGACCATTAGAGCCGCAATCCCTCGGAGCTTAGCACCAGCCTAATCAGACCCCGTTGATTCTACTTCCGGCAACTCATTTAGAAAGGGTGTTGGCTCGCAGCCGGGCGGAAAACCTAGAACGATGCACGGAGTAACACTTGCCCCGAGAATTTCGGGCAAACATAACCCGGACAGCCAAAATGAGGCTCACATCGAGAACCTCGCCAACGCGCTTCCCGGCGTGAACGAGAAAGATGCCGCCGCCATCGCCCAGGCCGGTGCCTGGGAAATTGATGCCTTTATCGACAGTATGGAGCGCGAGCTTGAGGCTGCTGGTGGTTTGAAGAAGGGCTTCTTCCAGCTCGAGTTCTCCGAGACCAAGTACTTCACTTGGCTTATCATCGCTTTTGCATCAATGGGTGGTCTTCTCTCTGGTCTCGATCAATCTCTCATCTCCGGCGCCAATCTTTTCCTGCCTGCCGACTTGGGCCTGACCGTCAGACAAAACGTAATGAGACAAAAGCCCACGCATCTCTTTGAGACCTATCAAACTAACTCTGCCAGTCCCTTGTCAACTCGGGAATGCCCCTAGGTGCTGTTGGCGGCGCTATTATCCTCAGTCCCTGCAATGAATACCTCGGTAGGAAGATGTCTATCATCATCTCTTGCATTCTCTACACCATCGGCGCCGCTCTCTGCGCCGGCGCCCAGAATTTTGGTAGGCATTTATCCCGACTCTTTCTATGTGTATATCAGCCATACTGACCATGCTTCAGGTATGATTGTCGCTGCACGAGTTATCCTGGGCCTGGGTGTCGGTCTTGAGGGCGGTACCGTCCCTGTATACGTCGCCGAGACAGCCGAACGAAGAATCCGTGGAAATGTCGTCTCTTTCTATCAGCTCAACATTGCACTCGGAGAGGTCCTTGGCTACGCCGTCGCCGCCATTTTCATTCACGTCCCTGGCAACTGGCGTTGGATCCTCGGTTCCTCTCTCCTCTTCTCTACCATCATGTTCGCCGGCATGCTCTTCCTTCCCGAGTCTCCTCGTTACCTGATGCACAAGGGCAGGACTCTTGACGCCTACAAGGTGTGGAAGCGCATTCGCGGCATCACTACGCCAGAGGCCAAGGAGGAGTTCTTCATCATGAAGGTGTCTGTTCTGGATGAGAAGCAGGTCATCGCCGAAGGTGCCAAGAACAAGCGCTTCCCTTGGATGGACTTCTTCACCGTCCCTCGTGCCCGCCGCGCCTTGATCTACGCCAACATCATGATTCTCCTCGGCCAACTTACCGGAGTCAACGCCATCATGTACTACATGTCCATCCTCATGCAACAGATTGGCTTCAATGACGAGAAAGCAACCTACATGTCTCTTGTTGGCGGTGGCTCTCTGCTCATTGGTACCATCCCAGCTTGCTTTTACATGGAAAAGTTTGGTCGTCGCTTCTGGGCCAACGCTATGCTTCCCGGCTTCGTCGTCGGCCTCATCGTCATTGGCGTTAGCTACCAGATCCCCACCACGTCCAACACGACCGGTGCCGTAGCCTGCTACCTCATTGGGCTTGCACTATACATGGGCTTCTTCGGCTGCTATGCCTGTCTCACCTGGGTTGTTCCCTCCGAGGTTTATCCTACTTACCTTCGATCCTACGGCATGACGACTTCTTCTGGTCTGCTTTTCCTGTCTTCTTTCATTGTCACCTACAACTTCTCCGCCATGCAGGATGCTATGAGCCGTACCGGTTTGACCCTTGGTTTCTATGGTGGAATTGCCATTCTCGGTTGGTTCTATCAGTAAGTTTTGTTATCTGAATTTACTACTAGGCGCTTAAATATTGTTCTGCTTACTAACATGGCGGCCTTCAGGATTTTGTTTATGCCAGAGACTAAAGATAAAACCCTGGAGGAGATCGACCTTCTCTTCGAGAGGCCGACTCGGGAGATTGTTGCCCTTAACGTTAAGAACACCGTTCAAAGCTGTGGTAACTTTTTCAGAGGTCGCTGGGGCAGTAGCGCTGAGCCCGCTCAGGAATCCGAGGTCCTCGAAAAGAACAAGGACATTATTGCCTAAATTATGTAGCATAACGATATGGCTTCGGCCAAGATACCCTGATGTAGCATTAGATAATTATGAGACGTTTGATTTGAACACAGTCAAATGAATACTTCATTTGACGAAGGCGTTTCTCAAGGAATGACAATTGTAAAGATGCCGTCCACTGTTGCAAGAGAGCAGATCATTCAGCTATTACTCGGAAAAAGCTTCAGATTCTACATTTGGGAGAGCATTTCCAATTCAATGCCATGTATAACGGTACCCAACTCGAAATTCGGGTTGGAATGACGCCGTAAAAAGATGGCAATCTCTGGCAAATACATCGCCCGCTGTTGTTAATTCGTGTTGATCACACTATCTGAAGGAAAGTCTAATTGAAAGGCTCACACACAGATCTGTAGTTAGGATTGGCATGAGTGTTCTGTGGTCTTAAGTAGTACGTATCGCAAGTTTTATCCGCCAGGCACTTCATCGGATGCTTCGTCATCTTCCGAACTTTCTCGCTCTGAACAAACTCTCTCCACTTTGTGACAAATGTCCCTTCTGGTTGCAGTCTCACTTCTCAAAAGTGTACATACCAAACCTACATTCAAGAATCCATCGTCATGCGCCTCTTTCAATACATTTCTGCCGGGTTTGCTGTTTTAGCCGCGTTGGCCGTTGCGTTGGCTGCTGTATCTAGCTCCCAGATCGGAGTTGTAAACGGTTTAGATTCTCGTCAAGACAAATGCGGTACCAACGGCGTTGTTGACGGGCAATGCGGCGAAGCATTCGAGCAGAAGGACTGTACTGGCAGTCTTGTGAAGCTGATCAAGCCTGACGTACGTAACAGGTCGTTTTACGACGTTTTCTTCTTTCTATACAGCCTTTTTTTTTTTTTTTTTTTGGGGGGGGGGGGGGGGGGGGGGTGTCTCAGTCCTTTCATTTCTGATAGTAAAGGAAATGCTGACTTCCTTTTCTTTGACACAGTGCTCTCAAGCTTGTAATAAAGTCACCGACAGAAGCGTTACTAGCCTTAGAGTCTCTGGTGACGGCAACGTCGCTAGCACGGTGACTTGCTACATGTACTCAGACGAAAACTGCAATGCCGAGGTTCGAAGGTCTGATGCGGTATCGCAATCTTGGCAGAGGCAATGCATAACAGTAGAAGGACAAACTGTTAAGAGTTGGAAATGCCTTAAGGGCTGCTGATAATCAACCAAGAATGCATCTCAGAGGTAGCTAGCCGTTTTCGTTTACATGTTCTAACCCAATAGTCATCATTACCGTCGGTTGATCAGGATAGGTGCCCTAGTTTGAGTCTCAAATCGTAACGCGTACCAATCGGTTACAAACAAAGCACATGTGTTTTCCTATTCATAAATTTCTCTCTTAATATACAATTTTTTTGATTAGTATAATCGCCTGGTTGAGTATCCTGTTGCCACCGAAAATCATTCATAAATTTCATAGGCGCATTGGTATGTGTTTTGTACATTATGTCGTTGATGAATCGTAGCGTAGCAGAAGATAAGTGAATGGGTTTCTCTCATCCACTATGGATTTGATTCATTCGAGTGGGGCTGTACCGCCCCATTTGTTGAAATGGGTCTCATTTGCCCGTCCTCAAGCCACTCCCAAGATGACCCAAGTGGCGATGAGTGTCTATAGCGTGACGTTGGATGCCCGTTTTCAATCTTGATCCTCAGCAACGTTGATGAAATTTCTTCGGAAAATAGGGATACATCTCCGCTCGTGATACTTCTGATATCTGCAATCGTGGACGGCCGTAGGGTTTTGCTGTCAGCCATCCTTCCATGGCTGTTCCATGTTCTTGCTTCGTAGGAAATCTGAACCTCCATCGTTCTCATTATTCCGAATGGTGGGGGCTCAGGAGTACCCCCGCTGGTCGAGATCGTTGTATTGCTAGTGGTACTGGAGCTGATAGATTCAGATATATCTAACTGAAAGTCCGACCCACGTCTCAACAGAAATGCCCACGATGTACGATGGCGCGGTGATAGCGGCATCAAGGCTACCTGAGGCCCCGATATTCGTGATTCGAAAGAGAAGTCGTCGAACCGTAATCGAGGTATCTTATCTGAGGGCTTTCCATTCTGTAATTGATGGTCTTCTGGAAGATGCTTTGATGTTGTCATGGCAGTGATAACCGCCGGGGGTAGACCTGTCCACTAAACTGGACTTTGATATTGCTCTCGTTGCAATTGAGATATAGTAGGCGGTGATCGTTGGCTTGTCTCCAGACGAAAACATCGGTAAAAGGTCTCGATAAAGCAGTTACACTTTCAACACAAAGAGGAGACTGCCAGTTTGTGATTAGCATCTCCAGTTTTGTGCTGCATGCAACCAAACGCCAGATGTCAATCGTGGGATCCATCAGTGAGATCTAAGATGTAGTCTCAATAACTTCCTACACGTACCGAGAATCCTGCTTTTCTCGCTTATTGATATAGTCACTTCGGTCGCATCACTTCCGACTCCAATAAACGTCGACTTCCTCAGCTTCGTTGCAAAATTCTTCGCAGCAAACACTGCTTTATCGACGAGAGTGGTAGCGCCACTGAGGAAGGCCTCGAGTAGATGAAGCGGAGAAATTTCGTGACCCAAACACAAACAGAAGACGCTAAGAGCGTTGGAAGAAACCGAAGAGCAAGATGGGGGTTATCAAGATTGGACCCGCAAGGTTGTACGAAATGCGTCTCGTAAAAAACAAAACCGGAGTGCAGGTATTCTACGTGCGTGGCAGAAACGGGTTGTTCACGCGCGGGGGGGCAGTGCAAGTTAAAGAGAGACATACGATTCTCCAAGGTGCAGAACTTGGTATAAGTTAAGGATCGGTAACCTATACGTGCTACGGTCCGGAGAACTGATGTGAGATGACAGGATCGTCTCTCAAACGCTAACGCCAGTATAGTATAATTAAAGCGAGGTGAGGGCTAGCTCAGAGAATGGAGGGAACATGCGAACAGGCATAAGGACAACGAAGCCAGTACACTGAGACGGAATCGATCCCGTCATCACATGGACGCAGCATAGCTCTTGCTGGGAATGTAACTATCTAATTTGGCTTTTCGTTTTGCCTAATTGGTCTCATGAGGTGGATGTTCCAACTTCCTGGCTGACGTGGATTCTTAATTTTGTACGCAAATGGAATAGTTTGCGCAAGAATCACCCGATTAGGTATTAGTGTGTAATGCATGGAAACCCGGCAGGATGGTTTGAGTTTCTTCTTAGCTAGTACCTACCTAATGTAAATAATTGAACGACAGCGTTAGTGCCACACGACTGATAGAGGCGCAGAGTATGTAAACTGAGACATAGGCTTACCAGCTTTCCAGCTTGGTGGTGGCTATGTTCTTAAAAGTAGCCAACAGATGGCAACATTGATCTTAGTTTTCAGCAACACCGGAAATGGCAATAGCCACCAAAGGGTTGACACCTTACAGACCGGACCTTTTATTCCTCTTCTCTGCTTTTACCCTTTAGTTAGACATCGAGCCAATCGTTGAGCGGCTATTCAGATCAACCACCAGTAGCAGAAGAAACAAATGTTAAACGATGCCAAAGCAAATCTGTGAACCACTTGTTGTTTCACTGCCATATGCCAGAGGTGGTCCAACACGATGCATACTTATCAGCACAGATACGAGACAACCCACTAACAACGGCAAAAAGTCTTCCGCACAGTCCAGATTTCGCCTGGCGCCATAGTCATCTAGGCTAGGCTTCGTAGAAAGACACTAATTGTGAAAAAGAAAAAGAAAAGAAGAAGAAGAAGAAGACTCGGGGTTCCATTCATGATTAGCGCATAATGCTTGGCGGGTCGCCGTACAGAGCGTTGGATTCGGTGGAAGTAAACGGTAAACAGGATGCCCCCCTCATCAAGCCAAGGAATATCTTGAAACTGCTTATTAGAGACCGTCAGGAAGTTCAACTCCCTCTTCTATTTGTTTCGCAACCCATAGGTACTCTGGGCCGTTTGTTAATGGTTAATGCTGAGGACGCCTTGTACCCCTAACAGGCGCATCCAATAGAGAAGTCCCTAGAAATTTCCGCTCCAGAAACTACCACTTCCATCCTCATCAGCACTTTAGACTATCAACCAGATGATATCTCTTCGAAGTGGATTTCAGAGGCCCTTCTTCAGGAGAGTCAGGGCCTCTGCTAACACACTAGATTTTCAGCTAAGCCTCGTGCGCTTTGTAATAGCGCCGTTGCTGTGCTAGGCTTTTCTCACCGAAAAGATTTTCCCTAGTGCTAGCCTCTCGACTGGTGGAAACTCAACTCCTAGTACTATCAAGGAGAATAATAAAGAATCTTGAGAGGAGGGGAAACAGTATCGACTCCAAAATCGTTGAGCTAGGCCTCAAGCCTTTGTAAGAGGAGACTTTAAGAAAGCTAGTGATGGCCCTAATGCCTAGCGCTGAACCGTCAAGGCAACAAGACAGCGGTGTCAATTCACGCAACAGCGTAGTTTGATGTGTCTACCTGGTCAAATTGGGAGCAGAGATCGTGACGACAGCTCGAGCTTTCGGGATCTACCTATGTTCATTATTCCTTTAGTATATCCAAGAAGACGTGTGGTCACTATGAGTCTCGGGTGCGGCCGGATCACCTGCCGCCCCAAGGTCGCGCGATCGGGGCGAGCAGGGTGAGCAGGGTGAGCAGGTTGCTTGCGCAGTAAACAGATAGTAGGTAATTGGAAACCTGTTAGTAGGATAGGTACCTACGGCAGCGTGCAGGACACACTGGTCCAAAAGTCAAATGGTTACTACACCACGTAAGTGTCGGATCAATTCCTTGATAAGGCCACAAAAATAAGCCTAGTAGATATTACATAATATAACACCCGGTAAAAGCTACCCTAGGGTATGATTACCCCTGTTAAACCAACAGCAACTGATCTACATCTAAGGACGGATATATAAATATCGTAGTAGTTGGTCGAATTCTTTTGTGTCCCTTGATCTCCTTGCTTTAATCATATTCCATGTACCTTACCGAATATCTACTTAACTAGGCATCTATTCTTGTCTCCTGCCACTTTGGTCTCTCTAGGTTGACAGACAATTTCAATGGCATCATTCGGTCTTTTTTCCCGGCTGCCTCTCGAGCTGCGCCAACGCATCTGGCAACTGAGCATGGAGCCCCGGCACGTGCTTATGGGAAAATGCGAGTACCTCCATGCGCAATCAAGCCCACCAGCCGTTCTACAGGCCTGCGCGGAATCGAGGTCGCATCTCCGAGGCCATTATACCCAGAAGGCTCGTTGCGGCTGCAGTGGATCATTGGCGTCGCGCGCCATGGTGAACTACGACATTGATACCGTCTGCATGACCGCCTTCGACATTACTATCTGGTCGAGTGCCAAGGATGCACCCATCAAGTACCTGGCGCTCGAGTCCAGGGACTCGGAGGCCTTCTTCTGGAACACTAGTGGTGCCGTGAGGGACATCGCGACTCTCAAGCACCTGGAGATACATCCTACGCCAGGCTCATGGCCGGAAAGGAAAAAGGCGCTCTTGTTGCAGGATTGGATCTCTCAGCTGGAGGTCTGGTACACCCCGTGCCCCCCGGCGCCATTCCGCACAAAGATCATCAGCCCTTGGCCAGACGTCGACATCCCTGAAGTTGGAGCGGATAACTTTGACGAGATATCGCGGGCTTGGGACAGGACGATGGGGTGGGCGTCAGACGGCTCATCGGAGGCTGACGAGCCGTTTCCAGATGCGCCCCCTCATGGTCAGGCAGAGGCTGACCCAGGGACCGGGGTGCAAGCCCTATGAGCGGTCACCTGTTTGGCCAACACCCTACGGTCTATATTGACGCAGGTACGGATATGAGATACTCGATACGGCAAAATCAGGCCCTACAACAAGGCTGACCGGTGGATCACCTTGTTACTTTGTTCCATCTCATTTCCCATCTCATTTTATTTTCCATCTCATGGTCCAACATCTCTTGTCATTCCTTGCATCCATAACATGTTCATACTGCCGTTGTAGATGGCCGAAAATCTCAACGTTCAAGAACCGTAACCGAACGGGACAACGGGGACAGTAGAGGTGACGCTGTTGCTCCTTCAGCCTATTTACGCATTCGTTTCTTCATACACTCCTTCATTCGCACCTTCGTTTCCTCGTCGCCACGTTTTCTTCACAGCAGTCCCTCATCATGCGGTTTCCCGTCTTCATCCTCAGGCTGCTCTGGCTCGTTCCCGGAGCCTTGGGCGCCGGCAGACGAGCAGCATATGAGAAGATCCTATTCTTCTATGCATACCGAATCGACCAGCTTTTACCGGAGGACCAGCGAACAGTAGGCGTAAAGTGTGCAAAGTGGCCCACTAGGGAGGAGCTGCCCTGTGAGGACCCGGGCAACAATAAGCCCAAATATCTTCACTGCAAACCAAAACAACCGGCCAGGACGGTCTGCACTCTCGGCGAGTTTATCACAAAGCTTAATTAAATCAAAAGTCATCAGGTAGGTCAAAGATCTTTATAATTGCCCCACATGCCAACTCGACCTATGCACTAACTAGAACGATATCCATTTATGGCTTAGCACTTTCCTTAACCCATGGCTTACGCAACAACGTCGCTGCTGGTCTGATGAAGATAAAGGGGCCCGGACAGTCTAGCTGCAGATTGTTTACATCCACTTCAGGTCTGTCCTGCTATGGAATAACCTAAACTCTGGACCCACAGTTGGAAACCAATAGCTCCTAATACTACAGTGATGTGCCATTCATAGAGAGAGGCGCCCTTGGTAACTGAGGAAAGACCTTGTCGACCTTCCAACTGAGTTGATGATGACAGCTCTCAAATAGGCGACTTGCATGTGGAGTTCTAAAGCAAAAACTGCAAGGCGTAAACCCGACATCATGGGGGCCCATTGCGAAGATCTCGATCGCAGAGATAGGTCGGGTTTCCGGTTAGCATAGTGGAACCTAGTGGCGTGCTACCCACTAATATGGCTTATCGACAGTGACAAAGGGACTTTGCATGGGATGATCGGTGCTTGGGATCGTCTGGAACACAGTGAGTTCGAAGTTGCATCATTGGTTGACAATCTGGATATCCCATCCTCTTGACATCAATACCAATGTGATTTAGCAAGTAAAATCTACGTGCGCTTTGGGGGTCGTTGAAAGATTGACTCTAAGTTTGCATCGGCTATTTACACAGTGATGGTGATTACGTTGGTTGATGAGTACAGAAAGTAATCAGCTACTTACCCAGATACAGCCAAAGCCAATAAACAACAAATTGGCACCGCTAATGGAGAGATCCGTAGCTGCAACGTTCAACTCGTGCTACACTACGTGCAGAATACCAAATTGCCTCCGTACCACAATTCATCCACTACTTCTGGTCGGTCCACATTTATGACAGAGTGAAACGACAAACTCCATCAATCCACCGACATTGACGTAAGAAACGTCAGGCTTCGTGACGCTAGTATTGCATACAACACCGTACACTAACCGCCATAAACTATGACGTTCGAAAATGAATGAAAAATTGGACACAGTTGGATTGCACCTCAGACGTATAAGTTGCAGGCTGGACACCAAGTTGAAGCTGTCTCTGGACAAACACGCAACCTACATCGATCGGCATTAATTACTATATCTGGACTTGAACTTCGAAGCGCAATTGCATCTATTTTTGAAGCATACCAATTAGATCCAAATACCCTATAAATTCCATTCCCAACATGGCCGACGAAATCCCCCAACAGATGCGTGCCGCAACCATCAAGGACTTCAATAGGGGTTATGAAGTCAAAGACGTCAAAGTCCCAACCGAGCTCGGACCTAACGACGTCCTTGTCAAAATTGCCGCCGCGGGCTACTGCCACACTGATCTTCAAGTACAAGAGGGAGTTTATGAATCCGCTGGTGCCAAGCCTGGCCTTATCGGCTCTCACGAGCCTGCTGGTACCATCGTGAAGCTCGGCTCTGAAGCCGGCAAACAGGGGCTTCAAGTCGGCGACCGTGTCGGCTCCATCAACACATATGGCTGCTGCGGCAAGTGCAACTCTTGTAATCAGGGCAAGCAGGTCTGTGACAACCTCACCGGCATGCTCGGTCTCACTCTCGACGGTGGCTTCGCCCAATACATGAAGGCCGACGCCAGAGTAGTGGCCAAGATCCCTGATTCAATTCCTTGGGTCGAGGCTGCGCCATTGTTCTGCGCGGGCGCCACGGTCTACGGAGCTCTCTGCGCGGCACAGCCCAGGAAGGACCAGTGGCTCGCAATGATCGGTGTTGGAGGTCTGGGTCACCTAGGCATCCAGTACGCCAAGTCGATGGGCTGCAAGGTCATCGCAATCGACAACCGTCAAGAGGCTCTCGATCTGGCCAACGACGTTCCATCGCACCTCAAGCCCGACCGCACTATTCTCGTTGATACCGATGAGGCGCAGGAGAAGACAGTGAAGGAACTCCAGTCTTCTTTCTATGAAAGCAACCCGGGCGTCGACCGCGTCGTCATCAACACCGAGGCTCGGCCTCTCGTCAAGTTCGCCCAGCAGTTCCTGCGCAAGGGCGGTGTTCTCGTCGACGTTGGGCTCCCTGCCGACGGACCTTTCGAAGTGGATCCTTTTGCCTTGAACTTCAAGGAGCAAACTATCCGTGGCGCGTTGATCTGCACCCCTGAGCGCAGCCGGGAAATGCTTGAGCTACACGCCAAGAACGGATGCAGAACACACATTGAGAAGACCTACAGTGTTGATCAGGCCAATGAAATGGCTGAGCACTACTTGTCCAAGCAACTCAAGGGTCGCTTGTGTATGGTCTTCTAAAGGAAATCCGGAAGCAGTCGTTGGATGATGTAATGATACCTATATGCGTACTAGTGTTTAGGCGAAACGATGAGATGACAGTGCACCAATATACAATAGCACAATGTTCCAACTAAGCGTCCTTCTCGATTGAATCAAAAATAGTGAGAGTGAACGTGTTCACCAAGCGACGCTTGGTCTTCGAAGTATGTATGAATGGTGCAGTTCACCTTGTGGAAAATATTGAACTAAGCTGAGTAGGTGATCCTTTTATATGTGCTGAACTGACCAGGAATTGTTCAAAACTTATTAATAGTAATATGTTTCCTGTACTATAGAATTCCGAAGCTCCATTTCCTGTCACTTTCAGATCTCATAGCGGTCTGTTACGTCATGAACAGGTCGATAGATAAAGTAGTCAAAAGAAGCCTTTCTCGCCGTGCCATTCAGATCTGAAGCAGCAACACCGACAAAAGCACCAGTGAAGCTACCGTGTGCCTGGTGACCACCACATTCATCGGAGATGATTGATGCATCGTACACGGGCCCGACTGCCTTCAGCTCTTCGCCCTCGAGGGCGTAGTAGAACTGGAGCTTTGGTCCCCGGATCGTCAACGCCAGCCTGACCTTACCCGAATCAGGCAGCGATACCGGGTCTGGGAAAGGGGTCGTGAGATTGCCATCGGGCCACGATGATTCAGATCTTTGGATCAACAATTCCCTTTTGCCGTCTTCGTGGGCACTGACCGTGAGGTAGAAGAAGTTGTAACGGCAGTAGTAGGCTGTTAGGCCCGCAAATTCTCTCTCGTCGGTAGGCGAAATGTCGACAATGGTCTCCGCGTCATAGGAGAAATGGGTCTGACGACGAGCGACCAGAGCCTGCTCGAACCACGACCCGATAGACTCTCTTCCAGTAAGAGTGAGCTTTCCTCCCTCGGTCGAGAAGATACGCTCGGGTTCCGGCGTGCGCAGCCACTGGAAATCCTTATGCAACCCATTCTCGAATGTGTACCGCTGCTCCGCCCAGTACGCAGTGTCATCTCTCGTACCCGGCACCTCAACAAACAACGACGGTACGGGGCCGTTCTTGACATACAACCAATCATCTTCACCCCAGTACGCTTCTTGAATTGCTGTTTCACGACCCAGCACACATCGTCTGTTCTGTGTTATGGGACGACCTGTCAGGTGAACCATGTATGTCTTGCCTTCGGGGGTGTCCACAATGTCACCATGTCCCGCGCGTTGAAGAGCTGCAAAAGGCGCATCCTTTGACGTGATGACGTACTTCTGCGGGTGAAGCTCATACGGCCCCTGAATATCGCGAGAGCGGGCTAGAGTGCAGGCGTGTTCGTAGGCAGTACCACCCTCGGCGGTGAGGAGATAATACCATTCGTTCCTTTTGTAGAGATGGGGACCTTCGACAAGAGATAGTTCGGTGCCTCTGAAGATGTTCTTCTTAGGACCTACTAGTTTACCTGCTTTGGGGTCAAACTCCTGCAGAACGATCCCCGTGAAGGCGCTGAACCGGCGGCGATGGTCCCACATCATGTTGACGAACCACTTTTTGCCGTCATCGTCGTGGAAGAGCGAGGGGTCGAAGCCGGAGGAGTTGATATAGAAGGGATCAGACCAGGGTCCCTCGATGGAGGACGCGGTGACGATGTAATTGTGGCTGTCTTTGAAGGAACCATCCTTACGCTTGACGTCCGTGTAAACAAGCCAGAACTTCTCTCCGTCGTGAGTGAGACACGGAGCCCAGATACCGCAGCTGTCTGGGTTGCCACGCATGTCCAGCTGGCTTTTTCGGTTCAGGGGCCGGGTGACGAGTTCCCAATTCGCAAGATCCTTGGAGTGGTGGATCTGGACACCGGGGAACCATTCGAACGTAGATGTTGCGATATAGTAGTCATCTCCGACCCTCAAAATTGAGGGGTCCGGGTTGAACCCGGGGAGAATAGGGTTCCTGACATGAGGCATGATACACGATGGATTGCTACTGATAAAAAAAAAGATTCACTGGCACTCGAGCAATTATGCCTGGAGCAAAACTAGTATTTATCAAGGCTCTTTGCTCTCTCTCGAAAGAATAGGTTGGGCGGTTCAACTCCACGCCTCCACAGATTGGATTTAGCCGGAAATAGATGATTCGTGACAATGTTAGCCTAAGACCCCCGTTTTTTGTCTTGGCTCTGATTACCCCGCGTCACGTGGATTAAGGGACTGAAGTTGGGGAAGCCTCAGATATGATACATGTGTGATCAATATGTGTAGCACGCGCGTTGAAAAGGGCATTTGGACAACAGTCATATTTTTGAAGCCAAAGTCATTAGTTAATACACTCGCAGAAGCGATATCATCAGTCAGAATCGTATGTCAGTTGGGATCACAAGCGTAAGGAAGTTCATTTATGAAGTTTGAGGAAACCCGAAATCTCGGGTCTGTCGGTTATCATTATCCGAGCCTTACATCCCAGAGTTCTACACTATACAATTTTTCAACTCATCTATTCCTATGTCGACATCTCGTGTGAAGTGAAAATAAAGATACACACTCAAGGCATTGGAATGGCTTGCTTGTGGTTGACAAACAAACCTTCGGGGTCATAGACAGCCTTGAGCTGCTTAAGACGGTCAAAGTTTGCCCCATAAAGACGAGATGACCACTCGGCCTGGGAGAGTTCGGTATCGGCGTAGTTGACGAATCCGCGGAGGGGAGCACCGCTGGCAACCAGAGCCTCCTCAAAGGGCTTGAATAGACTCTTCATGTAAGCGGGGCCGTCAGCAGGATAGCTGGTGATATCAACGGAGCTGGACTCCCAGCGAATAAGCCAAAGGTTTTTGCCGTGGCCAAAGCTAGTGTCGGTGTCGGAGATGTCGCGAGAGACACCGCCCCAGAGATCGATGAAGCCGGACTTGCGCATGTCGGTACGGTTGAAGGAAAAGTCAGTACTCTCATAGAGAACCTTGGCCTGCTCAACAGTGAGGGGGTGGTCGGTGGTAATAGTCAAAGACTGAGTGTAGAAACTCCGTTCGCTGAGGGCGCCTCCGTTGAGCTGATTCATGCCTGGGCCGGCAACGGCAACCTCCATGTCCCAGAAGGGCAGCTCAGTCTTTTGTACTGTGACACAACCAGTGATATCGTTGAGGGATTTGAGAAGAGGCGCAATAACGGTGTCGAAACCGGCCGGATCTCCGTAGAAAAAGCCTTTTGCTATGTAGGGGGGTCCGCTGAGAGACCAGCGGAGGGCCAATTCATCGGGACAATCCTCGGAAAGTGAGTACCTCTGGATGGCAACGAGTGATTTCGCAGCCTTGGTGGAGGTCAGGTCACCGGCGTTGATAGTGAAGTTCACAGCGATATCGAAAAGGGGCTTGTAGGTATTGGTGGTGACGGAGAGCAGGACACCAAAGGAGGCTCCCGCGCCTTGGGCGGCCCAGAAGAGGTCAGATCCCTTGACCGCGTTGACGATGGTACCGTTGTACAGCATATACTCAACGGACTCGAGGTTGTCCATGGGGGTACCGAGGTGGCGGGAAGTGGAGCCGAAGCCACCACCACCACCAATGCTGGAGCCAGCAAGACCGACATTGGCACCACGGACGTGGGGAAAATGACGACGGTGGTTATCCCAGAGATATTTGAGAACGGGTCCGACGTGGGAGCCTCCGCCGTATGTGAGGCGGTTGGTAGCCGTGTCAAAAGACACGGAGTTGAAGGCAGCCATGCTGATCACAAGACTACCCGGGTTTCCGAAACCGTAGGCCTGGAAAGAGTGCGCGGCACCGAGGACCGAAGCCGAAGTGGAGGGATTCCGTGCGCAGTCTAGTGAGAGAGCGATTTGATCGTTGCTCTCTGGGAATGATATAGCAGCAGGGATGACTTTGATGCGTTTCTGGAAACCAGCAGTATCTTTGGCCCAGGTGGCATCAGCGCTGATGACATTTCGAACCCCAGCAGTGGTCAAGCATTTCTGTAGCTCAAAGGCGGTGCTGTTGGCCTGAGCGGGGACGTGAGCAGAAGTGAGACAAAGGAGCGAAGCGACGACAAGATGTCTAAGAAAGTTTCTTGGGCCCATGGCTTCATAGGATACAACCGTAAAGTTAAGAGAATGTTAAAGGAGCAGGGCTACAGATCTCGGTAGAAGATATTTCTACTAAACATCTGTGTCAGTTCATCCGATACAAGGGAGTTAATGTATGGCGCCGTTGTACTTGACTTATTTGCTTGCCTATACATTGAAATCGTTTCCAGTCTCTGTTGAGGTATGCTGGGTATGTAACAAAGGTGATTTTGATTTATATCATCTGTGGAGACGGTCTCTCTTGGCGGTTCCTTTACAGCCTCACTACATCGAGTGGGAGAGTCTGGTTCATATCTGTTTGTTTGTGGGTGGCAATCAAAGTATCTTTGATTGACCCGGCAAGTCTCTGACCTCCTTAATTTGTCAAGACTGTCTTTGCTGAAGAATCGCCTTGTGAGCCAACTGGCGTTCAGACGCCCGTTCTTTCAGGTTTGTGATAATTGGAGCACAGAAGGCGGCCGCTACTGTGACAGCATACAACATAGAAAAGTCACACAGTAGGTTGGCAGAGCCGTTGGCACACACTCTGAGTAGTTCATTTTCCAGAGTTTGCGTGCAGGGTCTTGTGGCCGACAAATTCTTGCCTGATGAGGCGTCTTTCGGGCTAGCAGACAATGCAGCATAGCCTACAAGTGCCGTCCTTCGTGTGAGATCTAGGTGTTCCTAACCAATCTCCGGTTCTTACAGAGAATAGAGCTGGCCACAGTGTATAAACAGGATCTAAATCCCAGTGGGCTGCCAAGATAGAAGGATTGCTAAAACCTTGTCAGGTTAACGATCGGTTCTGCTCAATATCCTTTTAAATGTGCAACATATACTGTACTCACTTTCAGTCAACAAACATAACGTCACTTACAGTCAAACCATCGATAACACACGTTTTGATAGCACTGGCCAGCCTGATCTACATCCAGTAACAACTTTCGCCTATTCCACTTCAACTCGCTCTTCGATTGATATTTCTTGAGTTCGAACTTGTTCTATGCCGCTTGCTGTTCTCCGGATCCGGAACCAATTACAGCTTATCCGTTACTTTAAAGACGGCCGGGTGCGAGATCAATCCATCCTGACTCACCCTGAACGCCGCCAATAGGGTTCTCTACTGCCTGGACAGTGGCTCCGACTCGTTACCTAACGGCTCCCTGAACTCCTTCTCTATTGGAGGTGGAGGTGTTCTGACCCGCATCACTCGAGTCTCGGCGCCTTTCAGCGATGTCGCTGGCAATCTTGTCACGACAGAGTCTGGAGCCCGAGGATACGTCTCTGCTTCATAGTAAGTTGCGAGAATGTGAAAACTGTTTGTCCTCCTTCCTTTCAAGCTGACCAATCGACACGTCCAGTACCTACTGCATTGCGCAATAGCCCTGGGAATGTTTGCCTCCTAAAGTTGGCCAATCAAGTTTACATTTCTTGGCAGGAACCGAAGCGCGGCCGGCGTCTTTGCGCTCAGCCACGATGGCGCCCTCCCGGGTAATGGACCCCTCAAGAGTTCGCCCCGACCCTCGAGGCATCTAGCCCGAGTGCCCTCCCTCCAAGACACAAGCTACCTACATCACGTTATCATCGACCCAAAAAATCAATACGTTCTGCTTGCTGATCCTGGCGGTGACCGGGTCCGCGTCTATACCAAGGATCCGACCAGCATTGCTCCGATAAAGGAGGTCGACGGGTTGGCGACGGCTCCCAGCGCCAGCCCCCGCCACGGCGTCTTCAAAACTGCAACCAACGGCGAAGTCTTCTTCTTCTTCGTCAACAGCGAGCTGGACCGGAACATCTACTTGTACAGGCTAAGGTACAATGAGTCTGGCCTTGCTTTCACTGAGATCTTCTCCATTCCGGCTATCAACCCTGACTGCCCTGCGACCAAGGCACCAACAAGCGAGATTGCCATCACAGTAAGTTTCTGTCACATCTCGTTTCGTGGAGCAGCCCGGTGACTACGCCATGCCCTAGAGCAGCCAGACATCTAGTCAATACATAAGAAGCCCGGACGCATCCTACTTCCAGACTGGGATTCAGTCTGGGTGCAAACCTCTCGCTAGATCGATGTTTGCTCTTGGCGTAGCCTGACCAAAATTTCGTCATCGTCTCCGGCCGCGACTCGCCGATCCTTGGCTCTAGTCCTTCCGACACTATTTCCATCTTTGCAATTCAGGAAGATGGTACCCTTGCGTCTGTTCAGTTGGCCCCTTCAGGCAGCTGGTTTCCCCACCAGTATTCTATCAAAAAAGTTGGTGATCTAATGCTGTTGACCACCAGAACATCCGCAGTGTTTTTATTCGGAAGCGCGATCTTGCGTCCGGCAAGATTATCGCTGAAGCTGAGGGCGGCAAAGTTGGTCAGATCACACTCGCTGGCACTGTCGTTGCCACCAGTTTCGATGAAGATTGAGAAAATGAGCCATAGGGTGGTTTTAGATAGCCTCTCGCAGTTTTGTAGTTGATATGGTTATGTGGACGCCTTGAAAGGTGCCCCAGCGTGACTTGATTAGAGCAGACGATGTCCACATCAAGTTTTGAGTGATTGGCTTCATCTTTGATTTCATAGCCTATACTGGGACTCACTCACTTGGCTGATTGCGAGCCCGCACTTTTCTTTTGGTATTGAGTTCATTATGTCTGTTTTCTTAGTCATTTCTTAGATGCTTCTCTTTCTTAACATATCAACCGGCCTACATTTAGATCTCGCTGTTTTGAGCTGGTCTGTCTCCATTTCGGGACTGCATGGGCCGGGCAGCATGGCAGCCTGGACGGCGAACCGTATTCGGCGGACGGTGACGTCGCACAGCTTCGCGATTCAAATAAACCTTTCCGCTTTGACGGCAATTTCCTGAAATGCCGCGGCATTATCTTTGACAGACTCGGCGTGGTCTTCGACGACGGCCCAGACGAGCTCCCTCAAGATTTTGTGTTCCTTCTCCCGACGTCTATTTCGTCTAGTCGATACTGAGTGGGAGCCTATTTTGCATCACGTAAAAGCGGCATATGGCCTTATTGCCCTCGCACATTGCGGATGATAGTTCCGGTAAGCCTTGGCTCGGTCTCCGGCCGAGCTTTGGTTTACCGAGGAAGGGAAGAGCAACACTTTACGGATCCCTTAGCATGGAATTTCTTTGACGTCGTATTCGCGCTGAAGTTCTACGGCATAGGTTTGTTTGGGCCAACTGTTCTGTCATGTCGCGCTACGGTCACACCAGATTCAGGGTGTCCGGGCGGCTTCTCCTCCCAGTATTGCGTTAATGATCTGACTGTGTGTTTGTCTGAAGTTTTGCTGGGAAAATTGGCGTCGAACAAAACTTTCAAGGATTCTTCACAGACATGGCGTATCATATGACGAGCAGGATAATAGAATCGGCCTAGGTTGCATCATTCCAGTGTCAATATCTAATCTAGCTAAGTCATCGTCTTCGTAATCACAGACGTGCGGGTTTTATTTCCCGTTCCAACCATCGAAAGCCGTGCGGCCGTCTCTTAAGTTAGATTGTAGGGTGGTCCCTTATCATCCATATGTATTTCAACTGTTCTCTATCAAGATGCTTTGTTTCGGGTCCAGAATCAAGCAACAAGAATGCAACCCATCTCTAGAAATAGGGTCCAGGATGGACCCTCCAAAAAAGCAAGATGTTAAGGCCTCCAGTGACTGACACCAACTTTTCTACGACAAATAGGCTGTTCAGTTGATGTCCAACCTCGCGTGTAAGCTCTCACCACTGTGATATTTGTGGTTGATAAGGCAACCAACAGGGGATAAGTACTAAAATGGAACGTGCTTTGCTGATTCATGGCCAAAAGGAATCAAATTTACTCCATTGCTTTGTTCTTGCAAGCCTATAAGGCTATTGTGTTACTCAAGTCTAAGAGCAATTTGTAACAGCGCGTGTAGGTGCCTGGAAGCGACCGCCGCACAAACAACAAGATGAAGCACCTAGATCAAGCATTAGTAGCGTCGGGGGCTTGTGAGAAAAGGATCTGCCCCATGCCGTGTATGATTTGTAAAGCTCTTCATATAAAACATTGTCTCTTGTCCGCCGTATACTGGCCCTCAATAGTCTATCATACACTTTCTGAGAAGAGGTATTCGTTGAATCGTTGTATAAGATGCGCGCCAACTACCTTTTTACTCTCGTGTCCGCTCTTCCGGCCGTTCTGGTAAGCAGTCTCGACCAACGGAATTGAACCGCCTCACCGCTGACGTCGCCTCGACTCTGCAGGGCACTGCCCTGACCGACCCGCACGCCGGTGTTCGCGAGTTCACTTCCAAATGGGAGTTCGAGCCCTTCCCCGGAAAGAAGGTTGTCCTGAACGGGACCGTCGAGCAGGTCGTCGCCGAGCTTGCGCAGATCAACCCGGACTACTCGCCCTTCACCCCAGCCTTGGGCGATGGAGGGTTGAGTCTGGAGAGACGCCAGAAGGCCGAGTTGTTTCCGGCGGACAAGGTCCTTTGCCTGAAACCCGGCTGGGATTACGTGCATGAAAGCGAGGCCAATGTCGGCATTTCATACCTCAAAACAGTCAAGGGCCGTCCCAGAGGCGACCCGGGTCCGGCCAATTGTGGTCGGGTCAGCTGCGGCTACAGTGCTGCCATCTGGTTCTGCAACGACGTAAGTGGAATCAGATACGCAAAAAAGAAAACAAAAATACGAGCAAAAGGCAGTAAGACGTCAGGAAAGGGAGAGGGTGGCTAACCGTGTTCTGGCGCAGAACAAACATCACATCACCATCGAAAGCTTTGCCCAGATCGCCAAGATGGTGGAGGCTATCGAGTATCACTGCACCACCCGTAGGAGACGCTGGTACTCCGGCCAGGCATTCCATCCCACCGACAATTGGAATGTGTACATCCATAGAGATTCTTGCTAGTCGAGCCATGGTTCTCGAAGCGGGTGGACCGAGCTCAGAGCTCAGAAACACTGCAGCATTGGCAATTCACACTATATCTAGGACGACTAGGTGGTCTTCGAGGGGCCAGGTTGGTAGTCGCAGATTTTCGTTCTTTGAACATCCATGTAGTCCGAGACTCGTTTGAGCTATTTACTTGTTTCACTTGTTAGATAGCTGCTGGGTATAACTGTGGAAGCACGTAGTTGAATGTTGGAATAGACGATTTCATTTCGCGCTGTCGTAACGACTCATCAAACTTACATAGAAGCTCGGAACCCTTTTCTAGTCTAATCACTGACGTCCCATCACAGTCGTCAGATACTACCTAGTCCAGAAACAATCGATGGTTTCGGAAACGCGGTTGACGCCATCAATGCCCACTGGAGGACCAAGTATCCATCCGGCGGTCAGAACTGTTGCAACGCGGAGTCGCCGTCCTCTCCGCCATCAGTTCCTCTCTAATATTCTTGGCTCGCTCGAGGCTGATCGGGAAGTCCAGGTCATCAAAACCCATGTCGGTAACCTCCGCGGGTAAAGGCCCGAAGCGGCCGTTGGGTATCAAGCCCTCCTTCCACCAGTCCCGCTGCTGCGGCGGCACATTCGCCGTACTGATGATCGGGACGGTTGGGTCAACCAAGAACAGCGCCAAGATCTTCCGGTATCCCGGTTTTGTCTTGTCGATTAGCTCGAACGGAGCCACGCAGTGCTCTTACACATTCGGAAATGCCAACAATCGGTCCTCACGGGTGAGCACACTGCCGAGCTCCTGGGTAATATTCCCTCTACCTTTGATCTTAAAGGTGCGCTCGATGGAGTCGATGTCATTCTGCGCGTAGTCCAACTCAATCATATGATCATCCTTGTTGGCGTTGGTGCGAAATGCAAGGCGGCTCTCTGTGACGTTGTCGTTATCGTAGTAGTAAAATGCTGTGGCACAAATGTGCTCGTTAAGTTGGTCCTCAATGTGCCGGGATCCTCCATCATAGGTAGGCTTCGGGCGTGAGCTGGATATTTGCGAGCTTGACGATCACCTGGATGCGGTCGGTACCATCGAGGAAGCCTCTCTCAAGGTTGACGTCGTTGGGCTGGAGGAGCATGGGGCTGTAGTTGGGGGCGTTAGGCCTCTTGACGGGATGGATTCTGTCGAACCAGGCTTTGTCACGTTGGTAGTTCAGCGAGGATCTGCGATATTCATCCTCATTACGCTCGTCTTCTCCCGGATCAAATGGTCGGTTTTCTTGAGTGCAGTAATCGGTGCACCCGGCTTTACATTCTCTGCGGGCTTCATTGGAACAGATGCGGAGGACCTCAAAGTCTATGTGCCACCTATATATGACATCCCACAGGGGGAGGGCTTTTTTGATAATCTTCTCGATCGTAACGTAAAGCCCGGCATGGTGCTGGGGATGGAAGTTGTTGGTATAGCTGGTGATGGCGGGCTCACCATCTTGGATGTCAACCTCGCACGGGAGCCACTGAAACTTATAAGACCATAGGCCCTGTGTAGAACGACTCTCGGCAGGCTTCTTTTCAGGTACTGGGATGATTTGTCCTGTACCGCATGCCTTTACAGAGTCTTGAAGAGAGATGCGTTTGTCATGAACGATGCGAGAATTACCGTAGACTAGGGGACAAAGGGATGGGTGAACCAGATCCAGAACTTTGCCATCGCTTCCTGGGTGCCAGTCCTTTGCGTGTTCTTGGACGTCCTCGAGGATTGACACTCCCTTTTTCAATTCTTCTTTGACTTCCATGGAGATGGCGTTGTCGGACTTGACGACGGCAGTCGTAGCATCGAAGACGGGAACCAGTCCAATAGCTTCGGAGAGCGCGGCTTTCTTGCGGAGCTCGGCAAGACACTGAAATATGCATAAGCAGGGCATTTGGAGAACCAACAGGAGGCGAGCGAGTGTGAAGAAACTGACCCAAGCGAACATGGGCCTCGGGTACCTCTTTTCCTAACTGTTCCTTCACCCAATCGGCAGCATGAGGGAGAGTAGGCGTCACGTCGCCTAGCGAATGAAGCCATTTGCGAAAGGCCAGCATTTGTGGAACGGTGAGTGTGTTGGATGGACGTGCTGAATTGGGCCGGTACCATCTCGATAGGTTGACCTGATGAAAAGAGGGAGGGGGACGCAGTCGGAGGAAGCGTAGTGGAAATAAATGCCTAAATAAGCCGAGTTTCGTCTTAGGCGGCGGAATACGTTGGCGACATCAGAGAGCAAACAAGGGGGACGTGCGATGGCGATGGGGAGCATTGAAGTTGGATTTAGGCTGCAACGCGTCTCCGCCGCACTTGCCTTGGTTGCAGGTTCATTGCTGGTGCGCGAGACTGCCACGAAGTCACGTTGAGCGTTGGTCCGGCGTCTGGCCGGGGGCGGATGCGTCGTTGCCTACGGATGCCCACTAGCAGGTGGATCTAGTGCTCACCGATTCCTCGCTTGTACCAGTACGACGCCTAGGTAGTTAGCGTATTAGGTACTTTGTGTAAGTAGTAGGAAGTCGCTGCAATCCGCCCAAGGTATCTACCCAGGCAGCCTAATACGAATCGTGCATCGGTTTCCTCTCGGGGGCGTCAACTTGAGAGCAACGCGAAGTGGTACAAAAGAGTAAACAGTCGTAATGGTGACTATGGCGACTGGCGGCGTCGAATGGCACGAGGATAGATGCACCTACCATAGGTGCGCAGTGATCCAATCCCCGTTACGAGACTCCTCGATTCCCAACCTTTGGACTTGATTATCGAAGAGGACCAACCACCGCACGCTTGCATCAGGCATGTATATCCGCTCATTGGGTGCGGTTGTGCAAACCAACAGGACAAATGATTGGTGACGTATTGCCAGTCATCTACACCCCATCTCAGCATTACTTGGGGAATACTAAGGGCTTGTCGGAGACACCAGTCTCAACGAACCAATCTTTATGTGAATGTGCGTAGCTGGTAGGTATATATGTAGGTATGTAGGTATGTAGGTATGTAGGTATGTAGGTATGTAGGTATGTAGGTATGTAGGTATGTAGGTATGTAGGTATGTAGGTATGTAGGTATGTAGGTATGCATATGGATATGCGTGTATCTAGGCAATTAGTCACTAGTTGTGCGCCTTCAAATTTTGATCTGATAACGGGCAAAATCCGGGGGGGGGCATTGGGAGCATGTTATGTAACTCCCCACCAAACCCGCCCACCGCGCTTGCCGAATCACATTAAGCCGAGGTCCTTCAGAAAGTTTCGATTTGCCGGTGACCACCATCACTACCGGTACTACAGCCACCAGAGAGGCCCCAAGCCCCGGCCCGCCGCCGGCAGCAGCGCCATGTCCGCACCCTGTGACCACTGCACCGGTGTCTGCCGTAGTACCTAGGTCCAGGTAGTGTGTATCTGATCAGTGTTTCGGCTTCTCCCACAAGCTTTCCCTTGTCGGACCAATCCACCTCGGCGCATGAACACAGCTAGTTGGTCTAATTGAGCAACGGTCTGAACCTCGTGGTTGCAGCTGCCAGCACAGCTTTGCTTTTGGCTCTCTGTTCTTCTCTTCCATCCATCTATGCATCCATCCTTATTCACACATACCGCTTTTTGATAGGTGGCATTCCTGTTTCTTTCTTTCTCTTGATCACGTCTGCCTTCTCCTCGACCCAAAAAGCCCACCCGCCCCCGTCTCGTCCGCCGATCCTCGGGATAACGCTTTACCACCGGCACCGAGCTCGAACAAATCCCCTTCTTTCCCCGCCCTTCTCGACGAGCTGTCCCGCAGACACAGACCCTCGATCGTCCCGAGCTCCTTTTGCCCCTTTCCCTCTTCTTTCCTCCCGCCATCACAAAACCACCCAACACACCACAGACCCGCGCCCGACATGTCCACAGAAACGTCCGACCAGGCGCCCGCCGTCTCCGACCTCCCCTCCGGCGACCCCGTCCCGGCGCCCGTCGCGCCTCCCGTCCCCGCCCCCGCCCCCGCCGCTTCGTCTTCGTCGACGCCCGCCGGCGGCCCGAGACAGGGCAAGCACGTCCTAGGCCAGCTCTTCGCCGCCCTCTCCCCCCGCAACGTTGACGCCTTCGTCGCCCACCTGAGCCGCTGCTTCCAGACCCCCTCGGGCATCGACACCGTCCTCCTCTTCCTCTGCTACACCTCGCGATTCACCGCCTCCGCCCTCGACGCCCTCAGCGCCACCGCCCTCCGCCGCTCCGCCCGCCGCCTCGTCGCCCTCGCCCTCGCCCTCCCCCCGACACCACCATCCTCCTCTCTAAGGCCCCGCCCCCCGCCGCCGCCGCCTCCCTGGGCATCCGCGTCGCCGCTCGCCTCCGTGCCCTCTCCAGCCTCCTCAGTGAGGCCCGCACTATCATGCGGCTGTGGTCCCTGCTGCCACTGTACCTCTGGCTGCGCCGCCTCATGACGACGCCCGCGAGGCCCCCCGCCGCCGCCGCCGCCGACGACAACGATACCGGGGACGAAAAAGGGGCGGCCGGCGCCGCGCAGGATCCGTCCGCAGCGGCGCTCGACAGGGCCATCTCCTGGCTGCAGGTGACGGCGTGCCTGCTGCTGCAGTCGCTCGAGACCTCGTCCTACCTCGCCTCCAAGGGCGTGCTGCCGCTGACGCCGGCCCAGCAGGGCAAGGCGGCCCGGTGGAGCGTGCGGTTCTGGTCCGTCTTCGTCGGCAGCGAGCTAGGCCGGCTCGCCGTCGAGGCGTTGCGCCGACGGAGCGCCGTGAGCAGCGGCCGCGAGGACGTCGCCAGCAGCGAGTACAAGGAGTGGTCCGACGCCTGGACGCGAACCCTTGCGCGGCAGCTGTCGTGGTTCCCGCTCACGGTGCACTGGAGCATGGCCAAGGGGTTCGTCCCGGAGATGGGCATCGGCCTGCTGGGCAGTATCCCGGGCATCGTGCAGATGCGCCAGCTGTGGAAGGAGACGGCTTGAGAAGAATCGGAGAAGAGGCGGGCCTGCCTGGGTCGGGGAAGGGGGCCATGCAGGATAACAATGGAAGACAGCACGCAGGCGCCTCTGGTCGCATAAAATTGGAAACTGAGGAACGCCAGAACGAGGAGTAAAACAAAGGGCAAGCATAGAACAGCGGCCGACGAAGTTGCGGCCGCTATTGTATCGCGTCGAGAGAGAGAGAGAGAGAGAGAGAGAGAGATGGTGCCCGAATGTTGCGAGATTGCGTGAGACCACCCCGCAGGGAATTTAGATGCGGATTTCGTATTTCCGGTGTTCATGATACAAATAGAAGTCGATACCTTTCAAACCACACACAAAGACCCATGCCGCTATCCCCGGGCATCATTTGCCCCAAACGCCGAACCCATATAGAACCAACCCTCTTCCCCCCCCCTCTCCGCGACCCGCAGAACGCGGCGGACGCGCGCATACGGTGGAGGGAGCGCGCGACCGGAACAAAAAAGAAATCACATGCGCATCCTTCTCATCTCCTCCATCGTCCAGTACCGCCTCATGTTCTCGGCGCCGAGCGTGGCGACCTCCTGGTCGAGGTGGGTCCAGAGCACGCCGCCCCAGCCGTCCATCTTTTCGCGCAGGACGCCGAGCTCGAGCTCCGTCTCGCGGTCGAGGCAGCTGTGGAGGTAGGCCTCGAAGACGTCGAGCCCCTTGTGGATCTCCTTGTGCTGGCGCAGCAGCTCGGCGCGGCCGCCGCGGAACTCGGGCATACGCTCCGCGAGCATGGGGAACACGTGCACCTCCTCGATGTTGTGGTGCGCCGTCAGGTGCCGCGCGAAGCCCAGGCCCGCCTCGAGGAACTGCTTGAGCGTCATGTTCCGCGGGCGCCGGCCGCTGGTGGCGGCGTCGTGGAGCAGCGTCCACTCCTGGCGGAAGTAGTTGTGCTGCCGAGGCGGTTTGTCAGTCGGATGCGTCCCCGGCTAAGAGGTCTCGGCGATGCTCTTCCATGAAGACTGGGGATGAGGTGGGAAAAGGGGATAAGTAGGCAATGCAAGGGAGGGGCGAACGAGGGGCGCTTTGTAGGTAGAATGAACACCAACGTCGGGATAAGGGAGCGTTTCTTACAAAGTATTCCATCTTTTCCGCCATGTGGTTGTATGTCCTGAACTCGGCCGGCGTGAGAGGCGGCAACTCGGGCTGGGCCGGAGCAGCCTGCTCCGTCGATTGAGCAGCGGTGGCCGCCGCCTGGGGCTCTTCGGCGGCGCTGTCAGACATGGCGCCGAACCTGCGAATGCTCGAAGGGATGGCTGCTACGAAGCTTCTGGGGACGACAGTTCTTGGTATGCACTGGGATGCTATGCGTGCAGAAGGTCCGGGGTAGAAAGGAAGTGCGCGAGTGCTCTGGGATAGAATTCTCAAGCCGGAGGCTACCGTCCTCATGACTTTCGGGAAGGGGGAAGGGGAAGAAAAGCTGGAAGAAGAGATATCTGCCGGTCTCTTTCTATTCCTCGTTCTTACTTTGGAATCTATGTGGGAAACATTTGGTTCAAAGAGGTTTTTATCCCGGCTGACACCTTGTACATGCCCGCGCGCGCCGCCGCCGCCGCCACCGCCCCTCCTCCTTCAGCACCGATCAAAAAATGTGCTTCCCTGTCGCCCTCGGCGGGTGGGCTAGACTATTTTCGGGTCGGTCGCCGCTCAAAGAGGCAAAAAGGGCTCCCGGAAGTAAAAGTACACCGCGCGGCTGTCTTTTTTTTTTCTTTTTCTTTTTTTTTTCTTTTGCATTCCTTGCCAACAAGATGTGAGATGTGCTCGTGCAACTTAGAGTTGAAGAAGATTCTAACCTTACTACTTTATCTAGACCACCTGTCTACTACCGAGACATCAGTCAGTACACAGTGGAATTCTAGGATAACTCATACCCAAACCTGATGCTAACGCAGTCTTGCCTGTCTATTAGCATATCGGTCAAATATTTGAAAATTTGCTTTTGCCGTCATCAGATTGGTTGACGTCCAAGTCCCCCCCTCCTTACTCATATCTTTGAAATCTCATGCGAACCATTACACGTCTGGATGCCGAACCCAATGGCATGCATAGCCAGTCGGGGTGCTCAGTCGGACCCTCGACTCGGCCAAAATCAGAGACAATGAGATTAATTTCTGCTCGTGGGCAATATTGGTAGGGCATCAATTGTTGAACATAACGGCAACCTAAGACGAATATTTGAAAGGGTGGGGTCAATGAAGAGCTGCTTCCTACCATTAGCTGCCTCAATAGAAAGAGAAGAGTAGCAGTACCGCAAGATGCGCCGAGTATTGAGAGAGATTCAAAGATAGAAAGAAAGATTAAAAATATGTATTAAAAGGGTATATATAAAAAATAAGAAAGAAACCCATAGTAATAGAAACATGCAAAAGAATTAACCCGAAGAGTGGCTGTGCCAATCGCGGTGAGGATTTGAGCCTCACGCGGGGGTCGAACCCGCAACCTTGAGATTAAGAGTCTCACGCTCTACCGATTGAGCTAGCAAGGCGGGTTATTGAGTGGATCCAGGAGATCCGATGTTGTGAGAAGCAGAGAGCAAGCAATGCAAAAGGCCTGAGAGGCGATCCATCCTCTAGAGAATGCTGTATATGGAGAGCAAGAGAGCCTGTATACGCTTTTTACAATGATTTCCAGAGGTTGTCTGCCTTTCTGGTGCACAGCTGTGTGGGTGGCTGTGTAAGTAGCACGAGAAACCTAGTTATCCTTAGAGTGAGACATTGGGGCAAGGCCACTTCACTTCTTCAGCGCAGGGCCGAGGACCACACTCCACGCACACCCCCTCTTCAAACGCCCGGTGGTTATCCGTGATGGGGCTTCGAAGCTCTAGAAGACAACTCACTTGCACGCTCATTGGAAGCATTGAATTGCAGCTCAATAACTGACTAGAATTCTTCGTCCACAAACCTTCGCATCCACCTAAGCCATCATCGCCGTTACAGGTAGTAGACCAGGAATCCGGGTGCAGTCGCTAAATCGTGACATTCGTTACACTTTCGGCATCGTGGACAAGTCGTGACTCTATCAGCTTCTATTCCCTGAAGCTACAAACACCTAACCAGCCAAGGCTCTGTCTCATCTGAACCTCGCGGCCGGTATTTTGAGATTAAGCAACCAACCCTAATGCAGATACAAAGCGTGAAACCTCCAGACCGTTGATCGCCCGTTCCGTTCCGTTCTTCCTCTTCCCCCCGTTCTAACCACGGACCGCGGCACCCAACGCGCCGCCCGTGAACTGGGTACCACCGGCCTGCCGTTGGGGGTTACCGCCCGTCCTCGCGCCGCCCCGGTTGCCGCCTCTCGCACCGCCGCGACCTCCGCGCCCGCCGCGCCCGCCCTGCCTCTCGAACGCGTTGGCCGAGCCCTGGGTGCGCTGCTCCAGCGTCCGCTCGTTGGTCTCGATGAGCGCGCTCGCCTTGTCGGAAAGAGTGAGGGCGAGGCTCTGCAGGCGGCTGAGCTCGACGCCCTTGCGGAAGATGACGGTCGATGTGACCTGGTCGAGGGATGCAGCCAGTTCCTCATGGCTGATCATCTTGCTGACAATGGCAAGCACCTTGCTGGCCTCCAACTCGAACATGTCGCTGAGCGTGTCCACGGCGAGAGTGTCGTAGAAAGGGGCGTAGGTAAAGAGGTACGTGCGCAGACCCTCTTCCTGGATCTGCTTGGAGAGCATTGTCTTGATGTCCTCCGTGTTGGGCATGAGATCCCAGATCTTAATGCTGTGGATGAAGGCGGTCGACTTCTTCCACTCGCCGGCCGCCAGAGACTTGGAAGCCTGCATGACGTGGTCTCTTGTGTTCTCGGGAGGGCCCGTGAAGATCTGGCGCTCGTGGTACTCGAGCATGCGGCGGTACGTCTTGCTGATGACGCGCTTCTTGACGTCGGGCGAAGAGCCGGTCTGGGCGAGCAGAGGGATCTCCAAGAGCATGCTGCACGTCAGGTAAACGCACTCGAGGAGCTCGAGGTTGATGTGCATGTGGAAGGGGAGCTGGCGCTGCTTCTCCAGCTTCTCCTGCTCAGGCGACACCTGGCTGTATCTCTGGATCATGACACCCTGGGCGAGGAGCTCCTTCTGGCGACCGCTGCCGCAGATCTCCTGCAGAGTGTTCTGGGCGTCGTAGACGAGACCCTGGCGGAAGGCGCAGAGACCGACCTGGACGAGGGTACGGTTGTACAGAATCTGGGAGAGGACGTCGAAGTTGGGGATGTTCTCTTGCAAGTGGGACATGAGCATCATGTCACGAGCCTTGTAGTACTCGTCGTGGAGAGCAAGGAAGTAGACCTGGCAGAGCATGGCACGAGCGCGGAGAATGCCCTCGGCGTGAGTGAAGAGGTAGTTGCAGAGGACGTTGACGAGATTGCTGGCATCCTGAGCCTGGTCGCGCGGGGTAATGACGGACTCGACGTCGGAGGGGACGTTCTTCCAACAGTTATCCTCGAGGATCTTGACGACCTGGGCGGGCTGCAAAGACAGTTAGAAATGAGTCTACGCCACTATGACATGCCATCACTAACCTTGAAGTAAACGTGCTCGAGGCGGCGAGTCACAATACGGTTGATGCTCTCCTGAGGGATCTCGAGGTCGGCGTCCTTAAGGAGGTACTCGTAGTACAGCATGCCGCGGACAACTGTGTTGTAAAGGGCGGCCTCATCGGTAAGGCGCTCGATGTACTCGGAGGTGTGGGGGTCGATGTTCTGAAGCGAGCGAGTAAGCTCATCATCCAGACGCTCGACGTAGGAGACAATGCTTCCAGGGACCTTGATGTACTTCTGGTCCTTCTCCAACGTAGGAGGCTTCTCGTCGTCGTCCCACTCCTCGGCGTTCTCGACGACGACGTAGTCCTTGTTCTTCTCGAGGACCTCGAGGAGCTGGTTGAGCTCCTTCTCGGCGGCCTTCCAGTGATCGATAGGCATGTAAGAAGCACCGCCGGTGCCGAGGTCAAAGCGAGTAGACACGAGCGTGAGCAGAACGCGGATCTTCTGGTAGGGGGTGTTGGCGATCTCGTTGAGCTTCTCCATAATCTTGATCTGCTCCGGCTTGTCGGTGTTCTTCTTTCCGCGTGTCTCCATGATGCTGCGCAGATGCTTGAAGATGCTCTCAGGGGTGAACTGCAGGGTGCGACCGCCCTTTCCGACGGTGGCGAAGCCCTCGTCGTCCTCAGCGGTCTCCTCGACCGGCTCACGGTGTCGGTCAGACTTCTTGGGCTTGGGAGCGGGCTTCTCCTCCTCTTCCTCGGACTCCATGAAGCCATCGTTGTCTGCGCGGTAGGCGTCGACCTGAGACTGGTAGTCCTTGATGATCTTCTTGATCTTCTGCTTGACGGCGTTCAATCCACGGGCAGTGGTCGCGTTCATCTTCTTGGGTGTGACCTTCTGCTTGGAAACGGCCTCGTTCATGTAGTCCTCAAGCTCGGCAATCGTCTTGATGTACGCCTTGGGGGTCTTGCCACCCTCCTGCAGTTTTGTGACCTGGCGGTTGAGCTTGTCGAACTCTGTGAAGTGTCAGCGCACAGTTGGGTATCCCACGACATCTGAGCGCATCTTACCTGTGGAGATGGAAGCCCAGTCACCGATCTTGCGGCCATTGTCGATGAGCTTGATGGTGGCCTCCAGTTCCTCGGTGCGCTTGTCCTTGGCACTCTTGACCTTTACCCGCTCCTCGTCCTCGGAATCTTCGCTCTCTGAAGAGGCATCGCGAAGGAAACGCGAGGCACCGGCCTTCTTTCCATCATCACTGTCGTCGGAATCGGAGTCGGAGTCATCCTCCTCCTCCTCCTCATCAGAGTCTTCCTCCTGGTCCTTCTCCTCCTCCTCCTCCTCCTCCTCGGAGTAGAGCTCCTCCTCGTCGGACGACGAGTCGGTGGAGCTGTCGTCTCCGCCGCGGAAAAATCGAGACATACTGGCGATCGCTTTCGGTTCGTTCAGGCGGACGATTTGGCTGATGCGACTGGGAAGCGCGGGGTCGACGGCAGTTGTATTTTGTCGTCGAATTGGTCACGGCGGCGGGGGTATAATTGTGGTGATCAAGAAATTTCAATTTGGTGGGGGATGAATTTGGCCCTTAGCGAACGACAGCTGGCAGATCCAGTCACAGGTGGCAGCGGGGTTAGACGGCGCTGATGGGTGCTTGTGTGGCAAGGCTCAGTGAGTCTAACTCCACCAGAAAAACTGGACGGCCCTTCATTTGTGGCGAGTGACGGTGATTGACTCAGGCATTCAGTCACTAGCCACACCCCTCCAGAATGCAGCGCCTGCCGGACTTTCTGAAGCACCGCCTTCGAAGCTCGCGTCCCCCACGTGACTGAGTCAATCCTGAAGCGGCCTAGCGTGAATCGACCTCCTTCCTTCCAGGACAGAGAGCTGCATACCCAAAAATTTCGATGGCGCGGCGACGGTTGTTGTCGATGAACTCATCAAACATCGCCTAATACCAACACCAACATCCCGACTTCGGTCATTGCTGTGAACTTCCGCAAGGCCAGCTGATCATATTTCTATACGCACCTAGTTTCAGGCCGAGACGGAATACCAACCGGGATTGCACTGCGCCTTCAATC